TGTTCATTCTCAGGCCTCCATTTTGTTCATTCCAAGAAGCTCGTCTACAAGCGGACAGGTGCTGTCACCAGTAGAGTCAGGACTCTGACTGCGAGAAGTGTAACGCCATCACCAACCAACCGCTGCATCGACAATTCTGCCAGGAAAGAACAGACTCCATTATCAAAGAAGAGACAAGAGACAAACAGTAAGCTGCAGCAAAAGACAACCTTTGATGATGTGATCATTGTCGATCACAAACAGAACCCTGACAAGAGGACGCACAGCATCAACGTGCGAAAGAGCACAGGGGAAGAAGAGTGGGTGCAACTGAGCAGCATGGCCAAAGATTTTCCTCAAGCCTGTGCTGCATATGCTAGTGACAACAATCTACTGGACACTCCAGGGTGGAAGAGATTCAAGCGACTCGTTGACGGCAACAAGAACAAGAGCACAAATTGTGAGAAGAATCCTTCCAAGAACAGCCTCTCTTTCTTCTCCTTTCACTCAGTCATTTGAACCCCTTTGGTCCAAACAGCTTCTTCCGGACGGTAGCCCACCGGTTCCCATTCACACTCTCATTCTAGGCACCCATCCCTCTGTCATTTCCCTCGAGCAACAACAATATTACGGAAATCCAATGAATGCGTTTTGGTGGATTGCCGGAGATTGTTTGGGGTTTCGACGAGACACTGCCATTTCCCCGTCCACTGGCTGCCCGTACAAGTTGGCGTCGGAACTTCGGTTTGGACCGGACAAAATCATTCCATACGACAAGCAAATAGAAACACTGACACGGTCTGGCTTTGCTCTCTGGGATGTTGTTCAATCGTGCCAACGACCGGGGTCCTTGGATCAAGACATTCAAAAGGCAACACCCAATCCCATTCAAGAGTTTTGCCAGCAGCATAAGGGCTCGATACGACGCATCGTCTTTGCTAGCGGAATGACAACCTGCCAACTGTTTGTCAAGCACTTTCGAGACTGGTTGGAATCGGGAGAACTGGACTATCTGCACGGACACGAGGCATCCGAAAAGGCGTTTGCCAAAGCCATTGCCAGGGGTAGCAAGGTACAAACGACAAAGAAACGCCGCAAGCCCTCAACAACAATCACTCTGGTGGCGGCATTGAGTGTCTCTCCCGCGGCTGCTCGTTACAGCTACAAAGAAAAACGTGACTTTTGGGATGAATACGTCTACAAACCGGGTCTCTGTGACTACAACAACCAATCCAGCAGCAATCGACAGCAGCGGAGGAAGAGTCCTCGTCGAGCTTGAAGCAGATTTATTACCAAGGATGAACGTTCGAATATAATATCTAGCTGAGCTTACTAGTATGCACGCACAAATAAATCCCTCATGAGGCAGTGATGGAAAATTCATCCGTATACTCGCGAATGCTGGTGTCTTCGACGCTGCGAATACGAATGTTGTAGTCGGATCCATCTTCGAGTCCGTCCGGAATGGTCCAATGATACTCTCCGGTGGCAGCTGTGATGGGCAATGTCTTAACGATGGTCTTCTTCCATGAAGTACCTTTCATCAATGCCAGATAGAGGTTGCCCGTCATTTCAATCGAGGACCATTCAATCGCGACTTCATCGCCTGCGGAAAAAGATTCTCCACCAGCAGGTGACTGGATTGTGATGCCTTCGATGGTGATGGGTTCTTCTGAATAGGCCTTGATACTTGTGTCGTCTGTACTTCTGATTCGCACCAAAATGTCATCTCCGGCCCTGATCCAGCTTTCTAACTTGGGAAGGATGTAGGAACCTGTGTTTGGTGTCTCCGTGACAATGTAGTTGTTGAAGCGTTTCGGTTCATCATTCCGCATAAAGGCAAGCTGTACAGTGTCACTTTCTTGCATTCCTTGAGAATCCCAAGTGAACTCAATATTCGTGGCACTGCGGGTCAATATTTGGCCTCCGTTGAAAGACGTCAACGTGAGGGACGGGTCGGGGGCGCCACCCTCGAGAACAGTGAAATAGGACGTGTAATCTCGACAAGAAGTGTCCTCTGTGTTTCGAACACGAATTCTGTAGTTTGAATCTGGAAGCAGACCAGATTCCAGGTTGAGCTTATAGCTGCCAACACTTCCGCTGATGCTATCGACAACATTTGAAACATGTTGTAGTCCTCATCCACCACTTGGAAAATGTCTATCTTCACATTGGGAATGTCAACCACATTCCACGTTACTGTGATTTCATCTCCTGACTGGTAAGATCCACCATTGTCAGAGGTGATGTCGATCCTATTGGCAACTCGGAAGGACGCAGTGTAGTCGAGAATGCGTTTGTCGGTCGTCTCGCTACGTACGCGAAGGATCAAATCCTCGGTTTCGGGAAGAGAGTTGGTGACTTTCCAGGTGTACGACCCATCGTTGGCTGTTGCTTTGACAATATTTGTCAGCCATGTCTTGTCAGCATGATGAACCGAAAGCTTCACGATTTCATCGTCTGGAAGGTTTTCGGATTCCCAAGTGATTACAATGTCATCCGCCTTGTACATGATTCCACCTTCATCAAAAGAGGTCAGCTTCAACTTGGGAACGGCTGCCACCGGCTCAATAGGGGGTGCTGCAACTGCAAAGTTGACGGCATTGAGGGCATTGATCCACTTCTGATCATAGGCAGTAGAAATACGGATAAATCGCTGTTGCTCAATGTGAATAAAGTTGCCCGAGTAGCCCACCTGTGCAGTGGTGCAAACATCATCAAGGTCTACACCATTATAGAATCTGCCTTGTGTGTTTGAGGTACCAGTCAATGTGCAGTCAGTGTCACCTGTCATACTGATGCGATCCTGATCAGCCACATCTTCGAGCTCGTTCTTGAATGCGTCGCGGAGGAGCTGGATCTTTTCACCAGCCTGAGGTGATGTCTTGAATCCATGCGTCATGAAGACATCGTCATCAGGACAAGTGCTTCCCATGCCATGAAACTGGATGGAAGTAAAGTCCTTTCCAAGCGCTGCGTAGTACTCCTTGATGGCAACAGCGCTCATCTGGAACGTGTGGTCACTGTTGTGTGCCGCGTCTGCAATCTTATAGCTGGACCCCTGGCAGCTAATTGCAGCGTTTGCTTTTCGATGGGATCCAGAGAGAGTAAAACTTCTAGCGTCTGTTCCCTTGAATACTGCAATGCCTTGTCGGAAGGTTTGATCGTCATAGATCGGGTGGGGGATATCGATAGACAAATCCTTGGCGTTCGGGTCTTGATTTACAACAACTGCGCCATACGGAAACGCCGAGTACCAGTCATTGCTATCGGTTTGAAACGAAGCAAGGACACAAAAGTCAACACCGCCATCCGTCAAAACTCCGATTTCATAGCTTGCATCAGTCAGGATGGTTGGAAGTGATATGCTGCTGCAGTCTCCGCCGCTTAGCATATCGCCAACAGCCGTCTTCCAGGCAGATAGCAAATCTGAAGACGGCACTGTGTACGCCTCCGAGTCTTCTTCGGGTGCACTGCAAGCAAGGTACTGGGCCATTTCATCAAGTGTCTCGCAAGTGTCAAGGTCATAGCAACCGGAATCAGGGCAATCCGGCACCCACGGGTCGTAACGAAGTGGCCAATGCGAGAAGGATCCAAAGGGAAGGGAGCACCATGGTTATCATTGTTGTTCGATGAACAGAATTGTGGGAAAAAGACCAGGTCTTTTTCTGAGAGGGCCTTCAATGACCCATAACTTTCCTGGCAGCTGCCAGGTACTAACTAGCTAGTACCTGGTAGGGATCTCTAAACCACTTTCACAATGGTCGTCTAAAAAGATTCTCAGGGAGACGAAGCGTTGTTAAATTCAAATGGCAAACGGCAAGTAAAAACCAAAAATAACTAGTTTTTGAGAAGGATGCAACTTTCCACAAGACTTTTGAAACAAATACCGGTACTTAGCAATAGTCCAAATGGACATGTGGGCACGGCCAAAAAATGTAAAAAAGAACTAGGTTTCTTGTTTTTTGTGGAATTTGAGAGGTCATTACCGCTGGCCTCTGCAGTCATTGCACGCAGCGAAAGGAACCAGGTCTTAATAGACTATCTGGCTTTTTCGTCCTGAGAGACTGACGCAAGTGACACTCTGTCCGGTACAGCTGTACCGGAGACCGGCTTCACCTACTCCACGTAGCAAAGCTGTACATGTAGTACCAGTAGTCGAAAGATCCACTTTTGTAAAGCTTTACTAGTAATGGGCAAGAAGAGAGATGTGTCTAAACGTCTAAACCGGCATCTACCAGGCACTGTCCAGCCACAGGCAACCAGGTACGTTGAAGCCACGTGGATACCCCTACTGGTAGTTGCTGGGTCATAAGTTGTCACAAATCAGCTCCTAAATCAATAAGATTCTAGCAAAACCACAAACTCATCAGCTTTGACTTCCTCCTCTCAAACTTTGCCTTTTGTTGTGCTCTCGTAGTAGCTCTTAGAGATAAAGAACTAAGTGTTGCCAAAATGGACAGCAACGAAAACCCCACCAAAGAGGTGGAGATGAACGGCACGTCTCCTCCTGAAGCCCCCACACCAAGTGGCGATTTCACTCCAGTGGCTCCACGGGGCGGGCGGGCTGCACTCGTCAAGAGAGCCAGCGCCTTTTTCTTCGGCTTCGACCAAGAAGAAGAGGACGAGGAAGTCTATCATGACCATGCCTTAAGCGCTCTGACCTCTTTTACTGCTGGCGAGTCCGGCGATGAAAACAAGAAGAGTGGTGTCAGCCAACGAAGCAGGGGGCGCTTGGCCGTGCAAAGCAGCACAATCTCCCCGTTCAAGTCTGTCATGTCCTTTGGTTTCAACACGAAGGCTTTGATTTTCTGCTTGATTTGGTTTGCCGTTGCATTCCTGGTTCCCGGAATTGCCATCACGGAGAGCCAGATCTGGCAAAATATCAATGACCCTGATGTCCTCTTTGAATTTGTGACCACTGTTTGCGTCATTCCAGCCATTTGGATTTTTATGGTTTGGGCTGCGGCAAGAGTCATTCGTAGCGGATTCAATGAAAACAACGAGGGCGCAAAGAGCTGCTGGGCACGCTACAAACCCAGCCGAACCGCTTTCTTGATGCTCCTCTGCATCACTATTGAGCTCGGTGACGCTATCTGCAGAGAAATCGTTTATGAGGATCGTCAAGACATGACCCAATTCCTCATAGACCGTGCTTTGGCATTTTCCATGTTTGCCTTTTGGACATCCCTCTTGGACGATGGTGTGGTCGTCGTTCAGCAATTTGCTACCAAGGCCGAAACCGCCGTCAAGGCAGCTAAAAAGACACAGAAATGGAAAGGATTCATGAAAGACATGAGTCATTTTGGGGACAAAGAACTTGACAGGGCCTACGCCATTCCTGGAGGAAGTCGATCTCCTGCTAGAGTTCTCGCGGATGTCATTGGTGTCTACGCTACTCTGGGAAAGGCCATTGGCTTTGTCTTTTTGTTCCTATACATGGTTGGAGTTGACCTGTACAGTTCGCTGGTCACCTTAGGTGTCAGTGTTCTCTTTGTCGGACTCATCCAGAGTCTCCACATCAACGATGCTCTTTCCAATTTGCTACCCATTGCCATTGGCAATGCTTTTCACCTGGGAGAAATCGTCTCTGTCTCCAGTGCTGGTGGGGCTCCCGGTGACAATCCCAGCACCTGCTTGACTGGATTCGTGGAAGGCATTACATGGTCACATGTTGTCATTCGAGACTTCAAGCGCAAACAAGTATTCATTCCCCACAATGAAATGACCAATATGAGTATTTACAACTGGAGTCGCCGACCTTCCAAAATGATATCTTGCACGGTGACATTCAACATTACGCATGGAGCAGGTGGACCGGCTCGAGTGTCTGCTTTGAGAACGTTCATCAAGAATTGGGTCAAGAAACATCAGGATATTGAGCAGAAACTTTACTCCAAGGTGGCCCTAGAAGTCAATTCGGAAGGACAGGCAGAGATTGAAATCGTATGCTACCATAATGTCACTGCGAGTTCCAAGAAGGTCAAGGCAGAGATAGGAATCATGATCATGGAGGCAGCCAAGCGAATGCAGTTGTGCCTCGTCCACCCTTTGCTGCTTTCCAAAGAGCCCTGGATGGGTTTCGATACTGGTAGTGCTACCAAGGAGGATGCAGAAGTTGAAGCTGAAGCATTGATAGATAGTCTTGATGAGGACAGCAGCAACAACGCCAAACAAGCCACAGCGGTACCAACCGAAACACTGCTGGCAGATCTGATGCCTTCCCAGGGCTTGTCCGAGCTGGCTGGAACGGCCAAAGCTAAAAAAGCGTGAGTGGCATGGAAGCCACTTGATGCCAAACTTCAACCAACTCAACTCTTGCCTCCAAGGTCGTATGAGTTCGATTGAAATCCACATCCACTTACTCCTATGAGGGGCCTGGATACGATCCTTTTGATTAAATACTTTGAACATTGTAGAAACTGAAACTAGTGATGCCACCGTTTGTCGTTTGAAAATTGTGTAGAAACTGAATGATGAATTCACAAATTGGCTTGTAACGCTCTGTTCCCCATTTCTGGTCAATGCTCGTATGCTCGTCATGAGACAGACGAATCCTCTTTGTCAAATTTGAGCCCAACTCACTCATCATGCTACCTTCGCTTTTGAGGGTGCACTTTTGTTTGTGGCAGCGATGCTTGCTCTAATCCAACAAATCATGTAAAAAAGGGCCGTGGAAAGGGGGATATAGGCATCGTATATCAAGTGCCCACCCAACCGAATGACAAATCCGGAACATTGAGTACTCTCGAGCCATCCAATGAGGCCAACTGGAAATCCCACCAACCATGGGTATAGGGCATATTCGAATCCTTTGTCTTCCTTGGGTTTCATCATGAGTTCATTCCACGCAAAAGCCACGAAAAGCACAGATTGCACAAACGTAAACATGAAATTTCGTGGAAAGAATTGTGCAACAATTCTCACAGTCAAGGACAGCGCCGCCAAAGAAGGCCAAGATTGTTTCGGTAGTGTGGCTTTCAGCAACAAGATCCAGAAAATAAGTCCAACGGGGCTGCAGACACCGGCAACAAACTCTCCGGCTTCCCAGGGACTCTGGTTCATTTGGATATTCTCTTCTGCGTTGTTGTCCACTCCTCTGCGGGATTTCGCGATGGCTCCATGACCAATGCCATGGCCGATAATTCCCAGAATTTGGCTCACGCCCGCCAACTGTACAGCCGCTTCCATTCCAGGTTGGTCTTTCAACAACGTCACGATTCCCAGTAGCACTCCTGATAATGCAAAATCCGTGTAGAGACACAAATCATGAGACGTCCAATACTCATTGTCGGGATTCATCACGCAAAAACCCTGTTCTTTCCAGAGAGGATCGAAAAAGTCTCGGTGAAAGCCCACCATGTAGGCAAACACCATCACATTGATCACCGACACAGCATGAGCTGTGTCTCCAAGAGTGGCCCAAATTGACATAATAATGTGATTGTTGCAGCTATCCAGAGTGGTACTTCTGGTTCGACTAGCTAGCTACCTGGTAGCTACTCGCTCGAATATCAATGTGCTTCACGGAGTGACCAGTCTTTGTGGAAGAAGTTTTGGAAGTACCGGTACAGTGTGGAATACCTTCTGCGCCTCACTCTTGTTGCTGGAAAGTTCGAGTTTGGTTGGGTGCAGTGCGGGCAGTGAACACCTCCGCCGACCGCCGACGTCATCGTCGTCGTCCAAGGGAAACTGCAGCGTGGATGAATTTTCCGGAGAACTCAACTTGGCTCTTCGCGCGACCAAAATAATGCAACCGACAACCGATGCCATCTGCTCTCATTTGAAAGGAACAAAGGAACCACTGTCTATTGCCGGACTGTAAGCTGTAGACTACACTGTGTACTCCGTACTCCGTAAGTACACGTAATTGCCTTAGATTGGTTTGTTCGTGGAAACCGGTGGCGTCGCTCCCGATAAACATATGATAAGTGAGTCACTAGAATGTTGGGTGTTTGTGCTCTGAATTTAAGATCTATCAAATGTTTGTCAAGCCACACGAAGATGAGGTTGTTGGTTTGGATATTGGGGTTTGTGTGTGGACGAGGCCTAAAAATCATGGACCAGGAGGTATCCAACCTCGATCCAGGAGTAAGACCAGGATTGTGGACTGGACAATGTTGGTAGATAGGCAAGGCAATGGTTTCGCCTCGCTGGGGCCAGGAGTATCATTAGCTCCCAGCTTTGGACCTTTTTTGGGACCAGGATTAATAGCCAGGAGGTTACATTATACCAGTACGGTAGGGAGGCTTTGGGGGACAGCAGGGATAGTCTAATAGCTGCAGAGATAATTAAATCTTTTTGTGTGACATAGTTTGGCCAAGACCTCTAGAGTGATCTGGGCTTTAAGACCGACCGAATCCCGCAATATTATCTTCAGGGCTGTATATGGAATATAGTACATGTAAAGAGGGGAAACGATAGAACACATGTAGTTGAGTATGCCATAAATCTCGCAACTTCATAGTGTACTTATTGGTGGAGTTACGGGCGGTTGAAGATTTCAGACTTCTCTCCGTCAATTCTTTTTCTCTGCAGATTAAGACCATATGACGTCACACGTAGACTCTAGTACTGAGTCTACGTAGGATCCTACTGTACCGGTACCGGTTCTATCGAGTGCAAACTACAGGCCTGATGAGTGTCTCCAAGCACATGCATAAGCACATGATAAGCACATGCATAAGCACATGATAAGCACTCTATCGACACTCCTTCTTCATACCTCTACGGTGCGGTGGTTCGAAGCACCTCTACCGGTATCGACACTCTTTCCTTCCTCTATCGACACTGCTTCCTCTACCGGTACCAAATCGACACTGCTTCCTCTATCCACACAGCCAAGACTTGACACACACCTTGAGCAATGATGCAGGCAGTGGCTCGTCAATAGTGGATAGCTGTTACTGAGGCTATCCTCTAGCCAGTAGTAGAGCTCTAGCTAGTAGTAGCTAGCTGATACGACCGTACGAGACATGTAGTAGCTACCGGTAGCTAGGCCGTACCGTATGTACTGTTACTATAGGAATTACTGTACAAATCCAAGAATATTACAATAGTCTTAATGCACTGCAGGTCTTAATACCCAGATCACTCTATTACTACCGGTAGCCGCGCTGCAGCTGTCAATAGAAGAATTTTAAAAAAGAGAAATGGTCGCTGCTGTCTAGCATCTAATAACCGAGGTAGAGTGCTGAAGCAATCAGAAATGCATCATTTTCCTCTGGTTTCCTGAGAGGATTTAATCCGAGTGGTCATTCCGCGGTTGCCAGTGATACTTTTTACTGTAGCGGATTAAAGGTGTGACATGGATTATTATTGAAAGATTTAAAGGAGGTTCTCTGTTGAATCGCTTCGGGGCTTGGATCACTGGAGATGTAAAGAGCGGAACGTTTGTTGAGCGTGGCTTCGCTTCTTTCCGCAAGAGCTTCTCTTCTCCGGACCGTCTTCTCCGCCCACCGGCCACAACAGATCTCTTCTTGCTGCAGCAAAACCGCGTGGCCAATAACTGCGTTTCACCTGCAACCAAACCGAAGCAAAGCGGACTGTTGCATGCCGCTACAGCTGCTGCACTACTTCCTCTGTCAGCTTTTGGTTCCTCCAATTGCCTTTACAACATCTATTACTGCAAGACAGTCAAGAGCAAGGTTCTCCAGTTTTGGATTCTGCGCTTACTAACTACTGAGTACTACTAGCTAGTCAAGCAGCATTAGTCTAGTTTCTTACCATTAGGTTACACAGTGAGAATCGCATTGACCATGACCAAACCCTCTGCTACCGCGTCTCCCCGCGGTTCGAGTAGCCGCATTACGCTGGACCTCAACTTGGGTACCGCCCATTTGATGGACATAATCGAAGGCCCTGCGGGTTATGGAGCGGACAGTATATTGATCCGTTATCAAGCGCCGTGCGCCATTGAAGACCAAGATGTCGAAGGCGACAATCCCGAATACTTTTTGACTGCGGCCGCCATGGAGGACGACAGCATGACGGTCAAGAGTTCCTCTACCGCCGGCTCTTCGAGTATCCAACAACAACGACAGCATGCTCGCGTCAAACAGCGTCGACGTCGTCAACAGCGGCAACAATTGGACGAACAAATTTGGTGGATCATGGCGTCGATCGAGCGGTTCGCTACGCAATTTCGACACTTGAGTTTGCGATTTGTCGGATGCTCCTTTCCGGCCGAAGCCTTGGCGTGGTTGTTGGACCGCGTCGACCGCATTGAGTGTCTGCAAATGAGAGTCACGTTTCATGGGAGTCTAGGAGGACTCGCCAAGGCGTTGCAGAGACATCCGCATTTGACGCAAGTCTTTGTCGATCACTGTCGACCGTCCTTTGATGATAGTAGTCACAACTACAATAACAGGAGACGCAAACAAGAAGACGAAGAATTCAAACGCTTGGACGTGTCTTCCAACAAGCAGCAGCAGTACAAACAACACAACGCCAAGAAATCCCCTCCGCCGAAATTGGCTAGTCTCGAACCGCTCCTCGATGGATTGGCACAGTCCAAAACGCTGCGTTGCTTGACGCTCAGTCATACGACGATTGCCTTTACCGCGCGAACGTTTCAGGAGGAAGAAGAAGAGGAAGAACGTCCTGTAGTGGCATGGAATGCCGGTGCCTCCTTGGCGCAATTCATTCGCATGCCGTCGCTCGAAAAATTGTCTCTGGAACACATGACCGAAGTACAAGACGCCGATTTGGCCACCATGGCACAAGCCTTGAAATCACATCATACACTCAAGACACTTTCCGTTCGACAGTGCGCCGTAGGACCACTCACCGGACAAGCGCTGGGCGACGTATTACCCTGGAATCGCGGCCTCCAAACCCTCGACGTCAATATTCATTGGTGGGATGGTCTTTCTTACGAAGAAACCAATGAAGGACAATACGTTGCCAAATGCTGGGAAACCGATGTTATTTCCCTCATTCAAGGACTACAAACCAATCCCTCGCTCAAGTGTCTCGGGTTGTATTGTGACAATTTGGCGTACACACATAATGCCGCCGTCGTGTCCATTTTGGGAGAATCCGTCGAAGCCAGTACCAACGAATTGTGTGCATCCGCCTTGAGAGAATTGCCCAAAATATTCCAAAAGACGTCGGACGAGAAGGTTTCCTTTACTCCCCACCGACGCAATTGTGTCTTGGAAGATATCATTGTCGGCCATCGATCCTTCGGATTGACTCCGGAGATTGATTTCTACCTCAATTGGAACCGTGCCGGAAGGAGTTATTTCTGCCAAGAAGACAATGCATCGCCCTATGATTGGATGGATGCCATTCTCAATCATCGAGAAGATTTGAGTGTCGTCTACGCACTCGTGTCCATGAACCCCGTCATGTTCTTTCGACAAAACATGAGGACCAGGAAATGAACGAATAGGTTTGCTTTTTCAATAAATGCTAGGTTAAATCACCAATCGAATAGTATTACAATAGCTGACTGGCGCGCAGACTCTGTCGTCATAGACCAAGAGCTATTCATTCGAGGGCAGAATTCATAGCTCAGATCTCAGATATGGCAACATTCGGCTTGCGTCAGGGGAGGCGAGAGGGCGCTTGTTCCCAGCCTCGAGACCCTCCCCGAGGTGGTACAGGTAGACAGCTACCGGTACGATGTGATACCAACCGGTGCTTGTAGCTATGACTGCGTTGCATGTCACCTCTAGTAGCAGCTCCCCCCAACTTGAAGAGGTGCATGGCTGCAGCCACGTCCATACCGTACCGTACTATTAATAGTACCAGTACCGGCACATACTGGCACCTCCACTTGTTCCACCCATCAATCTGTTGACCCCACGGGCAGGCAATGGCAACACTGCAACATTCTCATACCAAAAACGAAATCGTATGAAATCGTCTGAGCTTCAGTCGAGGCGGTGACCGTAACCTTCAATCTTCCTGACCAGCTTGAACATTTATCTCAGCGTAATATCTGAATGTGCAGCTCAAGTAAGTCAGCTGAGGTTGAGGCTTCCTTGGCATCGTGAGCTCAAAGGACGGCCAGGAAAGCAACCATATGTTATCCCAAAGGACAGCCTTTAGGACCACATTTTACTGGAGCGCTACTAGCTAGCTAGGACTACAGTGTACTGCTACCGGTACATACTCTAGCTAGTACGGTACCAGAATCCGGACTGGCTTCAGTATCAACATATCAACATCTCAACGTGCCGTCAACTCACCGCACGCACGTTCTGATCTTAATAAGAGGGGTTAAAAACTGACAAAAATGAATTTGTGTTGTTAACTCTTTCTACTGCACACTAAATCTTTCTACAAACACTTAGCAAGTATCCCGCCCTGAATGAACCCTCTTGCCACATCAAAACTGACACGAAACCAACATTTCATCACCAAGACAACCTCGGACAGTCCCTATGAGGTGCTCCACACTTGTGTAGCGTTTCCTTCCACTGATATCAGTCTCCCTTCATCTACAGACCTTGCTTCAGATTGCTTGCTTGTACGAGAAAAGCTTGAGCACTCCCAAACATTCGTTTTACCCACGCCAATATCATGTCGTCTTCACAATCCGTGGACTCCTCGTTGTCTTCGCGAGATCAGTTCGATTCGCTCCGAACAAGTGCTGATCTTCAGGCCACAAACTCGGGCGAAGTGGAAGTATCATTGGCTCGAACAACCAGAGGGACACCGGCAACACTGAAAGACGAAAGTCCTCTGAAGAATACACCTTCGATGGCAACCTTGACGAAAAAATGGCAATTTCTGCTAGCCAAAGACAGAGAGGACGGTGCGGAAAGCTCCTATTATCAAACGCCTCCTCCGTCTACTGCAAAACTGGAGCGTGTCAGAAGTTTTGGGAGTCGCCAGAGCATGGGCAGTCGACACAGTATGGGGAGTCTTCGCAGCAATGGTACAACAACACCAATATTACCTCCCACTTCAATTGTCAAGCCGTCCTTGTCGGCCCAAAAAATTCTCCATCGCCTTCACACTCCCGAGGGTAGTAGCAATGCCAAGGCTCCACCAAGAATACCATCGTCGTCTCGGTCGTGGGATGTGGAGCAACAAGTTCGATATAGAAGCAGCGTGAAGCAAAATCTAGAGGTACGGTTGCGTCAACTGGAAAGTCAAACCGGTAGTGGAGCTGGGAAGAAACAACCACCGCCTAAACAACAACACACTCCTCCTCGATGGGAGCTCCCTTCCAGAGCTCGAGATCAATCGCCTTTGAGAAAATCGTTTGGAGAAGAACTGATAGCACGGGGAAGAATCTCTCAGCAACACCATCTTCGGCAATATTCAGAACCACACCTGTCACCTCAAGTTGGGCCATCACCCACATCGACAACCGCGGCATTGTCAGATACAACGACAGCAATGATTGCTGCTGATGCCTGTTCACATAACAACCTGCACAAAGATGCCGAAGAGAGAGATGGAGAAGCGAGTATCGATCCAAAGGAGCCGTCTTCCTCCGAGGATGAACTGGTCTCTCCTACTTTTGACAAGCAGAGAGGCTCCCCTGCACCAGAGAAGCAGCGAGATCCTCCTGCATCCAAAGGAACCCCTGCTTCGGAGGAGAATCGACGGTCCCCTGCATCCGAAAGGCACTTGACAAAATCTAGCGGCAACGCTGAGGAAGACACGACTTCTTTTTGGCATCGGTGGAAGCTAGCTGAGAAGCGAATGCAACAACAGCAAGATCAATTTGAAAAAGAAAAGGTCGAATGGGTCAGGCAACTGGAATCTGCCTATACTTCCAATGCGCAAGTGGAAGCTTTGGCCAAACGAATGGAGGTGCAACTCTTGGCGGTTCATAAGACATGCTTGCATCAGGACGATGACAGCGGGGTGGATGAAGGGGAATTGCGAGCGGATCAAGAAGTGCCGATTGACCCTCTGCACTTGCTCATGGTAAAGGATTCGGGGGAAATTCCACTGTCTCAGATAGAGGCATTTGAGGGCGATCCCTCCAGCCATGACAGCGACGAAGACGGTCTCATGGATTCAGAGCTGCAGGAACGGAAAATGGCGCGGACCAATACAAAGAACATCATTCTATCGCATTTAGTGAAGCTGTTAGAACGACAAGCAGAACAGCAAAAAGGGGAACTGGAGCAGCAACTCAAGATTGAAAGGGAAGAACGACTGGAAGTAATGAAAGAGTTGGAAGCGCTCGAGAAAAGGTTGGGAGAACATGGTCAAAACACCACCAGCGGTGCAACACCCAAGGCCAAGAACTCTTCCGAAAGCAAATCGCCACTTCCTACGGACAAGGATCAGACCAAGGCATTGCAAAATCGTCTCTGGTTGCGGGAACAACAGTACGAACAAGAACGGAAGGAGTACGATGCCAAGCTTCGCTGCCTGGAAGAAGAAAACCAACGCTACAAAGAAGAGTCGGAGAAGGCGAAACAGCAACAACCAACTACTGGGTCGAACGAATCTGTAAGCATTCTGAATAAGAAGCTGGAGTCTCTCAACCATGAACTGGAAAAGGATCTGAGCGACAAGAAGTCACTCATATCACAGAACGAGTCTTTACAGGCAGAATGCAAGCGTTTGCAACAAACAGTCGACAATCATGAACGAGACCAAAAGCGGAAGGACTTGAAACAACTTCGAGAACTGACGCGGGTGGAAACTCAACTCAGTAGAGCTCAAGAAGTAACGAAGTCTTTGGAAGAAAAGGCAAAGTCCTTGGAACTCAAACTGGAACGTGCGGAATCGAAACACGGCCGAGAACGGAAAGAACTGGAATGGAAACTGCTTCAACAGGGGGAACGGGCTGCATCAACTGCCTCGGGAAAAACGACAACAAAGGGTGAATCGGAATGGACCAAGAAAAAAATCGGGAAGGAGAAATCCGTTTTGGAGGATCAGTTGAAGGAAACGCAGTTGCAGCTAAATCGTTGCCAGGAAGAGCTCAGCGATTGCAAGAACAGCGCAGCTCAGGCGCTCAGTGAACAGGAAGGCCTAAGAGCCCAGTTGATAGCTTCTCAATCAGAAATATCAGATTGTCGAGAAGAGTTGGCTGAAAAGCAAGAGCTCTTGAATCGGGCCAGAGAACACTTCAAGACTGTAACAACAGAATCAAGCCAAGATCTGGCTCAGGCTCGGGAAGAAATACAAGGGTTAAAACAACAACTTCTATCGGTAGAGTCTGAGGCGGAAGATTGCCTTCAAGAGCTTGAAGACTGTTCCAAGGCAAAGTCTCAGGCGTTGGAACAACTTGACGAGCAACGCGAGAGGTTGGAGCAACTAGAGCTTGAAAGAGCGGGCCAAATCCAAGCCATAGAGTCGATGCGACAACTTCAAAACAAGCACGAAAGCGACATGCAAGAGTGGATGCTAAGACTTGACGCTGCAAAAGCAGATTGCGAGTCAAAGCAGAAACGAATATCTGATCTGCAAACGTGGCTCGAGGAATCAAACGTTGAGATAGCAAAACTCCAGGCGAGAGTTGGTGTGGACAAGGAAACCCAACAGGGAGACGACGATCAGGTCTTCACGAGGCAACTAGAAGAAGAATTAACCAACCTTGAGTTTTCGTTGCAAGTGGAACGGGAGAACTTGGAGGATGCTCACGCCGAAAACACCAAACTGCGCAGTCAAGTGCGACAACTGGAGGCAGATCTATTGAAGAACCGTGTGGCCAACGAAGTCGCCGGTTCATCTGAAGGGTTTAGTTTACCAGCATTTGACGATGCTGTTGACAAGGCACTGATGGCTGAAGGGTATGAAGACTTGGAGGTTCAGCTACAAGAAACAACCAATGATCTCGAACATTGTCTGGCGTCCCTTGACGCAGAGCGATCCAAATGCAGAACCCTCGAAGAGAACAATGCTGCCTTGGAAACAGAGATTGAAAATATATCCCAAAAGCGTTCGGAAGAGAAGAAGGCGTGGGAGGCAAGGGCGAAAACCCTGGTTGACAGCGTCGACGTCGGACGTGTATCAGCAGTCGAAGAGGCACCCATTCAGTTGGAAGTTCAGCTGCGCGAAACAACGGCCCAATTGAACGAAGCAACGGAGTCTTTGCGGACTGAGATGGATAAAAACAACGAGGCTGAGGAAAGAAACTCCAAGCTGCAGAATGATCTTCAACAACTCAATGAGCGCTTCGTTTCGGAGATGAAGGAACTCCAGGATCGTTACGAGGCATTGCCCACGGATGACAAAAACACGAACTCTGATCTACTGGAGAAAATATCCCATCTTGAGTCTGTGCTGTTGGAAAGTGGCAATAGAGAGACTGAGCTTCGGGATAAGAATGCAACTCTTGAGCTCCAAATCCAGAGACTTCAGGATGACTTTGAGGTTGAAGAGTTCAAGTCCGGGGAGTTGGAAGAAAAGAAATTCACTCTGGAGTCAGAACTTCGCCAGCTTAATGAGCGTTTCATAGGGGAAATGAGGGAGATGGAACAACGCTATCAGTCGCTTCTGCATGAACACAACAATGAGCACAACCAGAATCAGGAGCAGCACGGTGACCTCGTGGTAAAAATTGACAATCTGGAGTCCATGCTTTCTGAAAGCAGCAATACTGAGGCTGAGCTTCGGGAGAGGAATACAGAGCTGGAGCTCAAAGTCAAGAAACTTCAGGATAACCTTGAAGTTGAAGAATTCAAGTATGGCCAGCTAGAGGAAAGCTCATCTATTTTGGACTCAAAACTTCGCCAGCTGAATGATGAATTCATTGGAGAGATGAAGGAACTTGATTTGCACTACCAATCCCTTCTGGAGGAGAATGACAACCAACACCAGGAGCTGCACGCTGAGCTAGAGCGTCGCGGAGAAAAGCTCCTCTCTGAGCTGAATTCTCAGAGTGATCTGTTGCAGGAAGAACGGATGCAGCAGAAGCAATCAGCTGAAGTGATCGAATCGCTCAAGGGAGAATTGCGCGATGCTAGAGCCGCAAGCAAGGAAAGCGCTCCTCAACAACCCGGTATCGAAATGGGCCAATTGGATCGAGAGTACCCAAAGGTTTTTGTTCCCGTGGCTTCTGACCTTCACAACCAGCCACCAGAGCTTCAGAGCGAAGAAGTTTCCACCGTTATTTCCTCTCCTTATAGCATGGGACCAAGTTCACAATTTGAACGGGATCATGTCGGCGATAGTGGCATGCCTCTTCATACGTCTACCCTGGATGAGCAACTGCAGGCTCTTCGAAGGAAAAGTGAATGCGAGCAGAAGCTTGGGGAAGAAGTCAAGCTCCTCGAAGCGAAGCTGAATCGTCTACAGAATGAGCTCAGTGGCTCGAATGATAACTTGAAGCGTGCCAGAGAAAAGAATGTCGTCTACGAGAAAGAAATGGAAGCCCTGCACGACGCGTACGCAAGAGAGAGGGAGGAGTGGCAAATGCACCTTCATCAAGCGGAGTCTTCTGATTCAGTTCGGACTCAGGAACTCCTTCAGGAGAAGGAAGAACGCGAACGTCAATTGGCTGCTGCCAAGGAAGTGGTAGAGAACGGGCTTCGGGCTCTAACAGCTGAATCTGAGAAGTATCGGCAAGTTGTTGCGAAGAATTTTTCCCTGGATGACGAAATCAGGCAATTGCGTATTGAAAACAGCAGCCTCACGCAGAAGCTTCAAAATGCAATGGGTGAAACTATAACGGCTCAACGTGCTTTGTCGTCGACCAAAGAAGAGCTGCAACACCAGATTCAGGAGTGGAAACATCGCCATGATGACCTTCTCTTGGAGAAACATTCCATCCACTGTAAAGTGGCGGTAACGGAGCAGCAGATTCAGACGTTGCAAGAATGCCATGAGGCTCACAAGCTGGAGTGGCGTGAATCTGCTCAACTTGCAGCAGATCATTCAGCAGAATCGGTTACTGCTATGGTTGCAGATCTCAAACAGGAGGTAGTGAAGATGGGGGAGCAGCTATTGGTTTCCAACAAAACCATCCAAGAACTGCAAGCGTCTAGGACAATGGAACATGACCTCCTAGTTGCGCTTGAACGAGTTCAAAGCACTTTACGAGCGGCGGCGACGAGCATTGCCGAGAACGCCGGATCTATGGTTCGCCACGGCAACAACGTTACAAAGAGCTTGGACAACATAGAGAGTGTCTCAATGTCACTGTCGGAACTGAAGGAGGCAATGCTTACTCAAAACGAATCACTCAGGCAAGATATTCAAAGCATATCCCAGACATCACGTACGGCGGATTCCGCTGGGCTTCATCAAAACGAGGAAGACTTGGCCCTGGCACAGGCCAAACTAGAACAACTTACCAAAGAGTTGGAAGCGGAAACGAGTACACGACAAGCCGCAGAAGCGCAAGTAGCTCTGCTCATAACAAAGGTCACTCGCTTGGAAAACGATACCGTGAAGCCTCCCGTACTGGAAATCCACTGTGATGAAAACTCTTTCAAGGCCAGCAACGGCGATGGCGCGGAGGGAGATTATCGAGATGTCGACCTCGATGCAAAGTTGGCAGAGCTTACAGTCAAGATTGATGACGAAATGGAACAAATTCGTGAGATTTGTGGAGTTCCCGACAGCGAGGACGAAGCTGAAGCCGCCGAAAGGAACAAGCTCGCTGATGCACAACAAGCCATGTTTGCTCAAACAATGCTGTTGGTTCAATGCATCAGAGATCTGCTAGTGAACAAAGACGCAGAGCAAGAAGAGAACAAAACTTCGGCAGTTATTCAGCATCTCGAGATTTTGTCCGAAGTCATGGGACATGTCGATTCCATGGAGGACGGTGCTCCGATTGCCGAAAGAGACTCAGTTGGGTTCACAACCCCGGTGCCCAGAACTCCTCCGCACAGCCAATGCCAGTTCCAGGAAGAAGGTATCGAGACTGACCTTCTTCAATTTGAGCTGGCCCAGGACGACTCGCTGTGTGACTTGCGTAACGATGTCAGTCTGGATCAAAAGCAGCGCTCGAGCGAAATTGGAGGCAACAGCTCGTTCTATAATCCTGCATTTGCTCCTGACACCACAATCAACGAGAGTCTCAGAGAGGAGGCATCAAGTCCGATTCAGCTGGTTGTGGAACAAACGTACAATCGGTGCCAAGCACTGGAACGGGAACGATGTGATTTGATCAACGTCACCTTGGACCTTCTAAGCGCCTCGCGGGAGGCAAACAAGGCTGAAATTGATGCGGCGCTGGCCTCGGCTCGTCGAAAGGCTTCGGAAGAGATGATTGCAATGAAGCAACAGACTCAATCACAAGTCGACCAGATCTGGATTCGACTGTGCGAAAAATGTCGGGAATCTCTTGTAGCATAGTGTAACTCCTTCATAGATGCTACCGGTAGACTGGGTTTGCTATGTGATCCCAAGAACCAATAGGTGCATGATGTGAGAGCATACATTTCGTATTCGCCGTGCGGATAGCCAGCTCCACATTGATCGCTTGCTTGGTGGGTCTAGGAGGTACAGTCGTACCGTAGCAGTTCGTCACAGCCTTGGAAGAAGTGCTGTCACCGCAGGAGTTGGGGCGAAACCTATCGTGCGGTACCGTACAGTGCCTGTTTGAAGACTTCTCCGAGCTTTCCGAAACCTGCACAGTGCGCGTCCAATTTGTACGTAGAAATCGTACTGGAACAACATCGAATCACAAAGAAGAGTGTTAGGATGTTCGGAAGAAGCAAAGCAGTGACAGTCTCCGCTCCAAACTCGTCTCATTAATCTCAAACTCTGAAAGAATAAAGAGACAAGAAAAAAGAATCAATCAACTATCTACAACCGCTATCAAGCTTGGCCTCTGAAAGACAAGAGGTCGACGTGAAAACCATTCAATTCAAGCACATCAAGAGCTCAACCGAGACGAAAGCTATCATGACTGACAAGGAAAACAAGGAACACATTTCTTTGGTGGTCACTGGCCATGTGGATGCTGGAAAGTCCACAACTGTGGGCCACTTGATTTTCAAACAAGGAGGAATCTCTGAAAGGGAGATGGAAAAGTTGCAGCAAAAGGCTGCTGAACAAGGCAAGGCTTCCTTTGGCTTTGCTTACTACATGGACACCAACAAGGAAGAGCGTGAACGCGGAGTCACTATCCAATCCAACACCAAGGACTTCTACACTGACAAGTACCACTACACCATTGTTGATGCCCCCGGCCACAAGGACTACATCAAGAACATGATTACTGGCTCCTCAACTGCTGACGTTGGTCTTCTTCTTGTCCCTGCTGAGAAGGGAGGTTTTGAGGCAGCTATTGCCAAGGCTGATCCAAAGATGGGAGTGGAGGAAGGCCAGACCCGCCAACATGCTCGCCTCCTATACCTCTTGGGTGTAGAGCAGATCATTGTGGGTGTGAACAAGATGGATTCTTGCAACTGGTCTGAGGAACGCTTTGAGGAGATCAAGGCGGAATTTGTCAAGATGCTCCAGTTGATTGGATACAAACCGAAGAAGGTTCCATTCATCCCCTACTCTGGATACAATGATGATAACCTTGTGACTAAGACTGACAAAGCCCCATGGTACAAAGGATGGAAGGCCAACGTGAGCCCCAAGGTCACTGTGGAGGGTTACACCATCTTGGATGCCCTAAATGACTTCATCCAGCCACCGAAGAGGTTGCCAGATGCCCCTTCGTCTACCAATCTCAAATGTCTACAACATAAAGGGAGTTGGCCAAATCATTGCAGGTTCTGTTGAACAGGGTACTCTTCGTCCTGGTGATGTCATTGGAATTGCCCCCGCTGGACTTACTGGAAAGAAAGTCTTCTCAATTGAGCAACACAAGAAGATCATGGAATCTGCTGGGCCAGGCAACTCTGTTGGATTGTCCATCAAGGGTATTGGCAAAGATGAGAAAGTATCCCCAGGTGATATCATCTATCTTGAGAAGGAAGGAACACTCAACCCAGTCAAATGCTTCACTGCTGTAGTTGCAGTGCAAGAACACCCAGGTGTACTCAAGCCTGGTTACACCCCTATCGTGTTTTCGCGCACTGCCAAAGTTGCCTGCAAGATGACCAAGATTTTCTGGAAGCAGTCCAAAAAGACTGGAGGCCAAAAGGTTGAGAATCCAACTGAGCTTCTGCAGTTTGAGTCTGCTGAGGTTGAGTTTGTGCCCCAGGCCCCATTGTTCTTGGAACCTTTTGAGAAGGTTGCTGCAATGGGACGCATTGCTGTGATGGACTCTAACCGCCTCAAGATGCTGGGCAAAGTCACCTCCACTACAGAAGCCACCAGATGACATGCCTTGAAGATCAATTGAAAATAAAATTAACATTGCAGTAAATAAAACATAGTAAGATTTAAGAAGCACAGACTCTGGACTCCAGCATTGGTAAATCTTTGTTAGTGTACTAGCCAGCTTTTGTAGATAGTCAGAGTGAGACTGGTGAGGGAGGAAGGAGATGTTGCTGGCACTCGTTGTGTTGCCTGATGATGGATCTCTTTCCCTGCACTTCGTCTTCGTGCTGAAGTAAATCTGTGAACGCAATCTGTTGCTGGTGTCTCTCTCAAACGACTTCGGATGTCTCCTCGGGGCGGTGGTTGCAAGCCTGCAGATTTGTCGATCAATGCGAAAAGTTCCATGGATGACAATGATTTCGTGACTGAGCTTCTCACTGACTCGATGGAACGAAGTAATGACGACGAAGCTGTTCCTCACAAGGACATCGTGTCTCCCAACAAAACCAGAAGCCACACAACCAGCAGCAACAAGATGATATTGGACTTGACCACGACGGCAACCCCACAGCCGCTATCTCAAAAGCGACCAGTGTCTCCAGTAGCTGAGATTGACGTGCTTCCAGCGTCAAAGAAGCGAGCAGTTGAGGTCACCCCCGACAACAACCACAGCTCTGCTGTTGTAGTCATCAAGCAAGTAACAAACCCACTCGCAGATGTGGAAAAGGCTGCCCGAAAAGCTCTCAGCTGTCCCAACAATCCATTGAAGGAATGGAAGAAACTAGAACGTCTCATGATGAATACATGTAGCGAAGGACAGAAACATGCATTTGGTTCCCTCATGGCGGCTGGCATCACCGTAGACTACTTAGCGGAAAACATGCTGCCACTTCCTCTAGATCGAGAGCTGCAGGAGTTGGGAATAGTCTTGATCGGAAAACTCGTCAATCACGTCCCTTCTGCGTATCAATCGACAGCTGCTACTACGGCTGTCACCACGGCAATGACGATACACGACAAGTCAGGCCGGATTCAAAACTCCGGGTTGCCGACTCTACGACAGTGGGCTCGTCGTTGCCGTCAAACGCGGCACGCAACGGCCGTCATGGCCCAGGCCGTGGCAGGAAGCATGGCGTATGGCTTGGTCTCTGAGACTGGCCCCGATCAAGCCAAACAAACCTTTCAGGAAATGGGTGTGGAAACCTTTGCGAATCTCCTCTCCAATTTTCCTCAGGAACCCACCGTCCTTGATGCTGCCATTCAAGCTACAACTGCCGCAGCACGTGAATATCCCAAAAACTACAAGATCGTAAAGGGAACCTTGGATTTTCTCCTGTCCATGGAAATTAATCGCTACAATCGAACAATGCTCCAAAATCCAAACAGCATGGAACTGCTCCTCAAGGTCATGAACGCCCACCGGAAAAGTCGGAAGATCCAGCTCGCTGGAATGAAACTGTTGCTCGCCTTGGCCAATCATGATATGAAGGAAATGACGGCGACCAGGGGCAGAGACGGTCCCTCATCGGTGCATCGGTTGGCGGAGGCGATTGGAAATGAAGATCTTATTCCCACAAGAGTGGCCAAGGAGGCAGCGAACTCTGGGTTTGTCCGTTCGATTGTGGCCAACACGGCGGATCCCGAGCTTGCAGAAGTGGCCTGTGGTCTCTTGGTTCACCTTTGTCACAGTCATCGCCAAGCAGAAATCATTGGACGCGGTGGCGTTCCAGCCCTGATGGACTCCATGCGCTCGGAGGGATCGGCGTCTCTCCAGAAGAAGGGAAATGTCCAACTCTGTGCTCTGGAAGTGCTTGCTCAGTTGGCTCGCTTTGCTCCCAAGGCTGTCTCAAAAACAGTGTCTTTGCCAGAGAATTTCCGGTGCATCTTGACGGCTCTTCGTGCCGCCGAAGACGAAGATGACACTGTCCAGTGGAAAGCTTGTCAGCTATTGGAGCTGCTCATGACCAAGTGCCCGAATTCGTTTCCTCCCAAGGACGCCACCAAAATGATTGACGGAGTTCTGCGTACCTTGGCCCGACACACGCACAACGAACGCACCCAAGTCGCTGGATTGAACGTTCTTGCCCTTTGGATTGGGTCTGGCGCGTCCTCGCGACGTTCCAACAATCGCAGCTACGTTCTGGAACACGGAGGGTTGGAAGCTACCGAGACTGCTACAAAGACGTTTGCGACCAGCTTCAAAGTGATGACTGCGGTGAGCAACGTCTTGGAAGGTTTGAGCAGTCCCCAAGTAGATGATGTTGTTGAGGATACTGAAGCCCAGGCGAACAACAACAAGAGGAAGTTTGAAGAAGTGTCGGTATGGGTTGTCTGAAGCAGCTGCGCCACAACTATGGGGAGACGGCGCACTGGTTGGTCTGGCTGGTATAGTATTCTGGAACAGTTGTATCTAAAAGATGCCGTGGGGAGATCATCTGGGAGGACGATCTCGTGGCACTTTTGAGACCATGTTGTATCTAGTTACCAAAGGCCAATGTTCGCCGCATTGCACAGTATGTCTAAAACACACTATTATAAAAGAAAAAAGGAAGAAGTATTCTACCGGTATCTCCTGCCGTAGGAACTAGACATCGGTTGGTTGAATCGATCGGTTGAGCCCCCTCGAGATCTCATCGTTAGTCGTGGGTGGACAATCGACCGGAGCACCGCCTCGAAATAAGTTGTTTTGGATGAGTGTCGAAAGAGGTCGATTGAATGATTCCGATTCAACTTCCACAAACAGAATCAACGGCAGACAAAAAAATGAACCTTCCACGAGAGCCATCTCGGGACAGATTGCGGGTTGGTTTTGGACAGGAATCCAACGCGCAATGACATCGTGGAGAGGCGATGGTTTTCGACCCAACTCACCTCCACGGTGATGGGAGCACCGTCGATGGACTCAATTGTCGGACAACCCTCTCATAAATTTGCATCTCTCTCCCCGGAAACGTTATCACACACTGTCGTTGACCGATCGATCTATTGCATTATTACATTCATCACCATGGACTGCATCGCCTCTACTACTCCTTTGGTTTCGTCTCCATTCGGAACAATGATGAACGCAGAGTCTTCTCGAGCTGCCCAAGGATTGCGGATTCAGCGACTTCCTCCTCTCAATCGCGTTGAAGATGATGAAGACAAGGAAAACACGGCACTACCAATGCAGGTTGACGTCTCAGAAGAGGATAGCCACCATGACAACAGCAAGTGGACCATCGAAATTTTCGGCGTGGAGTCATCGTGCGACGAAGCAACAACCCGTCCGTCGTCGTTGCCATCGAAGGTGGTAGACGACGATGAAGAGCTCAAAGATACTACTTCTGAACACGGTCCACACAACAACAACTTGCCTACTACTGTGCAACATGACTACACCGCGGCTCTTGCACCACCCAACTTTGACGTTCTATCACAAGCGCCAAAGAAGAAGGTGCTCAAATTCCACGAAACGACACAGATCAAGGAGATTCCCTCCTTTCGCGACTATCCCATGGATGAACGGGAGAATATGTACATGGGAACACACGACATTAACGTCAATGCCGAGCGCAACATTAAAGAGTTTCGTCATGACGGCTGGGACTGGAAAACCGTGACCGAAGACCACAAATACATTGTCACGGAGGACTGGGATTCCTATCATCCGGCAACCTACGCGCAAATGCAGCAAGAAGAAAAGGCCCGACAAGGAGTATTGGGCATGTTGGAAGTGGCCTACGGAGTTGCCGGTTACAACTTTGGCTCGAACGTTTGGTCGGACGACGAGGAAGGCGATAGTGACGAAGAAGATACCTTCATCGTCATTGACGACAAGAGCATCTCTCCAGAAGAAAGCCAACAACAGCCAAGCCGTCTCTCCGATTATATATTGCAACGTAGTCCATCCATTGATGACTTTTCGGATGTCTTTGGATTTGACTTGTGAACGTGGAGGGTGCCGTTCGAAAATGGTACCATGGTCAAAAACCAACGAGAAAACAAATAGATAGAACTCATCCTACTAGCTGAATAACATTACAAATAGAATACAACATATAAAAACAAACATCGACTTCTTACTTTCTGCTCTATAGAACAAGTAAAACATGCCGTACTGTAGTTGGCTACATGTGCCGATAGCACAGCATCCACGCCGCACCCTGATCATTCATGCACAAGCATCCACGCCGCACCCTGTGATCATTGATTCGATTCGACTCCCGCTGGCCCGTCCCAGAGGGTATGGAAAAAGTGCGGTTACAGGCTAACTATAGTACAATATTTCCACACAAGATTCGCCAAACTGTACAGTAACCAACACAGTGTCGAATTCAAAAAATGTCACTTAAACAGTTGGAGTCTTGTGGAACGATCAAAGAGTTATTCGAGGAGGTGCGCCGTACCGTTAGAGCCCTCATTTTTCTTGCTCACAATTTCGAAGAGGTTCCAGTTTCCGTAGAGGTACGAAAACGTATCTTTGTAGAGTCGTCGAGTCATTGAAAGTCCACAGCAAAGCTACTACATCACCATGTTGCTTACTGCTAGTAATGCATTTAAAGAATGGCTAGATGTTAACAGTCGCTACCCTTACAATGAGTTGAGGAAAACCAGGCAGACTTATAAGCTCAAGTATGTTTTGCTAGAGGATCAAACAGACAGGGAAGATCCCAAAACCCAGTACTATCTTGTGAAGACCAGATACCTGTCCAGTGGCATCCTGGAGCAACTCATCATGGAAGGGAATGCGCTGCCAATGACTCCTGATCAGACTTGGCTCTTGGATGAGATGTTTGTGTGGGGTGTCAGGCACAGCAATGAATGGTACAGTGAAGTTCTTGCTGAGCTTGCATGGGAAGTGTATGAGCATGAACCTGTTACAAGGAAAGAGATGTGCAGAGAGGCAATCAAACCACTTATGAGAGGTGCACTTCACCAGCAAGGTATTGGTGGAGACCATATTGAAGTGAAGGCATTGTTACTTACAGAGTGGGAAGAGTGGTTTGATACAGAGTGTTGGAGCCAGCACAAGCACAACCTGAGTGGTATGACAATCAGTAGTGAGCAGTACATTATCAACAGAGCTGCATTCACTCTTCATCATGGTGGCTACTCTTACCCAATGCACCTTGACTGATTCATGTCTGTTCAGAGAGAGTTTAAAAGAAAGGAAGCAACAACTGTAAGATTGTTGTTGTTTGTTATCCAATAAGTGTCACCAGTAACAGTAGTAGCCAAAACAAACCTTTATGTCAAACCAATTGTTCCTTTCAGTGCTGTTCTTGTGGGTTTGTTTGGTGCATGTAGGCCCAAAGCCATCATCAGCGCCATGGTAGTCCTTGAGCTGCCAACAGTTGCCACAATAGTTCCTTGTACAGTCTTTTCCAAGTCCTTCTCCTTCTATATGATCCTTTCTCTTGTGCCCACAAGTTACACAGTAGCGCCTGCTTCTAAAAACCTTTCTTGGTGGCCTCTTTGCTGGACCAACTCTTGGCTCAACGGGTGTGGCAATATCAAAAGGTGCAACATTCCGGTTCCTGTGAAAAACTTGAGCTGTAACCCCCTCCAAGCGACCAACCATCACCTCTGTATTCAGAGTTGTGGGATTTCCAATTGGTGTGCGACCTCCTTGATGTTGAGTGTAGTTCCTTGGCTGGGTGTGGTGTGCTGCAGGGACTGCCGGTAGCTGTTGCCTTGACTCGCGAAGTGCTCTGTTGAGTTGTTGTCGACTTGGATCATTTGCTTGTGTTGCCGTGGCTTGGAGCGATCTGAGTTCTCTGGTTTTTCGAAGATAAAGCTCCAGCTGCTGTCGGCTCTTTCTGTTGATTTGAATGATTGTGTCATCACCTCTACTCCATTCAGAGAACCTTCTCGCGACTTCGTTGTTCCAGTTTCTTTCGAAAGCTGTGTAATTAGGCTTCCCCCGGCCTTGGAGATTGTACTTGACATGTTCCTGGTTAAATAAGCGCTCTTCTTCCAGGTCTAAGTGAGTGGCGGCTGTGCAGGAATCAGGAGAGCGAAATGGGATCCAAGGCTGTTTGTTGGTCAATTTGGTGAATGCTTGGAGCGTCGACTCTCTTCCATTAGTATCTGGAAGCAGCTTGGCCAACTCGTCTTGGATCAATTGGCGATTAACAGCATCACTGTGTTTAATGGCCTCTGTTTGTTGAAGATCTTCGAGGTGCTGATCCATATCATTCTCAGTGGCCTCATTGGGTTCGCCGTTTAAGTCAACTGTAACTGGAACATCATCTTCTCCACCAGTACCGGCATCTCCTCTCACTGGCTCATCGTCATTGTCATCCTCACTATCATAATTCGAGTCGCCTGCTGTAGGATTGGACACATCATGAAGTTCCACCACCTTGTAAGAAAAGCCCATAAACTCGCTGGGTGCTGAGTCTAGTACTGTTGGAGCAGAGATACCCTTGAAAGGCAACTCTGATTCTCTATATCCCACCTTTTTCGCAATCGAGTTTAAGAGAAGCAGCCTTTCAGTTTCCACAATTCCATAATCAACTTCTCCAAGTCGGGTGATAGCCTTCTGTTGGTTCCTTTCCTCAAAGAAACATGTCATTAACCGATCTGCACGGTGGATGCCGATGTGGGTAGCTGTCAATATCTTGTAAGCTAAATCCAAATTGTCTCGCTCATTTGTGTTAGTTCCCCTGGAGACATAAGTAATTCCAGAAACTGGATTGTGTCGGAAGATGTTGACTTCAGATGGATCAGAAAGGCAGCCTTTGTCGATGTATGTAAAGAGCTGCTTGATCTTGTCTCGTGTTGCCGAATCGTTCTTCAGAAACAATTTGCCTGATGGTCCATCGCCGCCAGTTGACAGTAGCATCTCTGTTTCTGCATCCTTGCCTCTAATGAATTCCAACACTGCCTCCACATTTCGCCTAAGCTGAGCCGGTGGAGGGATGACAGCATTGGCCTCTTTCATGATTTCCTTGTGGGTTGGCTCTCGATTCTTCTTTTGTTGCAGGTATTCCTTGGCTCGCTCATATTCAGCTCCTTCCACAACAAAGGTAGCTCGACTCAACAGTCCACGGAATATCCCAGCTTGAGGTGAATTCGCGTCTCTAAGGCAGGGGGTCCATCGCTTGTGCCAGTGGAAAGGATCAAGGAGAATCTTGACATCACCAAAGATCCGCTTGATTGTACAGTAGACTTGACAACAATTGTCCACATACACCACCTTGACAGAGTTGCTTAATGGAACATCGCCAATTGGTGGGATTGGTGTTCCTTCTGCAACAAGATCCCGAGCAGCTTCAGTTCTTCTTCTTCTCTCCTTGGCTTGCGAGTTTCTCTTCAATCGGTCATTCAGACGAACCAAGTCAGGCTCGATTTCACTGAAGGATTCTGAGTGCTTGAGTGCTTTCCAGAAGACAGTCAGACCATCCTCGTTTTGAATGGTGATGATGCACCTGTAAGGACAAAAACTCTTGCCAGCGCCAGTCCAGACTCTTATCTTTGCCGCCAACTTGTAATTGAAATCAATCTTCAATATCTCTGCAGTGAGACCCAACATCTTGCTCTCCTGGTACTCCTTCCTGTGATTGAAGACAGTTGTTACAAGGCTGTCAATCATGTGTTTGCTTACCACCCGACCAGCATATCCCCGCTTATCATCGAAGTTCGAAAAAAGGGGAGGCCGATTGTCCACAGGTTCTCCTCCAGCACCATCATTATCTCCAGCGGTGGTATCACCATCACCCAATCCATTATCTTGCACGTAATCAGCAATAGCATTCAGTGCCTGTTGAAGTTCCAGTTCGGCTGCAATCAGTTCCTCTTCCAGCGACTCGACTCTGGTCTGGTGGTTCTGGTAGTACACAGTCACCTTGTGCTGCCATGAGCGAATCTTGTTCCCCAAACGCCTTGGATGGTCATCAGCATCAGCAGCCAATAATTCCTGCATGGACTTTATCCCCATTTCAATCAACTTTCTCAGCTTGGTTCCTCCAAGACCTGGAAGGATGTTCTTGTTGGCTCCAAAGTGATTGCGATTTTCCTTGTCGCTCAGCATCCTCTTGAATTCAACATCCCCATTAGCTTTCCCCCGTGCAGATGATAGCAGAAGCCGAATTCGAGTGACGTTGTTCTCCCTCACATGCTTCGTGGACTGGAGTGTCCTTAATTCATCATCAGTTTGAACAACCACAAAGTCATCCATTGTCTTTGCCTTTTTCTTTGGACGGCAGTCAATCTGATCTCTGCCCACGGCTGATAGATAGAGCTCGAAATCACTGTAATAGGCACTGTATGCAAATCTCTTCAGCCGTTTTGCGATGCTGGCGGTACATTCGGTGGATGCCTCCAAGACAATTTGACTGTAAAGTTCATCGTCTACTGCATATCCGTGGCCCAAATAGAAGTTAAAGCTTGATCCATAAACACTCGAATCCAGTTTCATGCTCTCCTTGTTGTATCCAGCGAAACGTCTGCCACAAAGGTTGCAGGGGTAGAGGACAGTATCTAGGAACCGATGCCGGTGTACACCAAATAAAACTTTTGGGTTGTTGATCCACCGAGTCTTCAAAACATCGACATAGCTGTTTTTCTTGCAGTGCGGACATGTTGGAACGTGGCCCTGGAATAACAGATGGGGCACAAACACCGCCATTCCTTTCACATAGAAGGAATCCGCTTTGGTTTTCTTCGCGGCAGCATTCAACAGATTGCTGTTGTTTCTTCCTCCACCTGGTTGTACATGCTTCCAGTTATGCCCTTTGAGGAACGCACGATGGTCATTGTCAATGGATGCACGTGTAGACTTGATGAATGTCTGTTGTGCTGGGCTGAATTGCTTGAGCGGCGCATCTCCGGTTGTCATTGTGGTGGCAGGAGTGTCATTGCCATCCAATAAAGTGAGTTTCGAATCTCCACGCTGAATTGCACCGAGAGTTGAGGGTTAAAGATTAAACGGTGGGGATGGACTTCATCAAGACTCAAGAATATTTGGTTCCCACAAGGCACTGCAAGCGTAATAGTACATTTAAACTAGTATTTGACGAAATCATCGTGTCTGAGGAATGACATGAGTATTAGAGTCGAGACATGTGGTAGTTAAAGGTCGGGACCTGCAACGTCATCAAGGGCGTCTGTCCCCCCCTCCTTCTTTTTTTTTTCTTCTTGGTTGGAACGAGATCTTGGCCGCACCTCCCAGAGGGAGGGCACTGACGTCAATAGAGTTGAAGCCAAATGGGAAAAGCTACACGTGGAGTCCGTGAAGATTTTTCTCTTGTTGCTGTTGATTTGCTTTTTTTGAGACGGTTGTCAAACACTTGTCATCTGCATATCTTGTGCATTAGCTACATTGTCTGCATTTCTAAAGGAGGGTTTTCAGAGGAAGATAATGATGAAATCGTTTGCTGTGGTAGCGTTGCGCTGGCGGTGTCTCTTGATAGCCACCGCCCTGTTGTTTGGGTTGGCGGAGTCTTCTCGGTCTCGTCGGCCCTGGTCACTGCCACCGAGAATCGGCTCTCTGTTTTCTTCTGGGAAAAGCAACCATGGAATGCAACTTGATACTATTCGTGGAGGTGAACAGGCTGCCAGTACAGCAGCACAGCCCTCCTTGGATGAAAAGGTACAGGCAGCCATGGAACGATTGGGGATCAGCAAACCAACTACCGACGCAAAAGAGTCCACCAAAGAAACTACCAGCTCCGAGGAAGTCGAATGCGAAGATGGAGTTTGTCCCGTGCCCACTCCAACTAGTGAAGAGGCAGAAGCAGAGGCAAAAGCAGAAGCTAGTAGTAGTCCTGATGCTACCCCCGAGACAAAGGTGACACCAGCGGCTGCCAAGGATCCATACGATTTGGCAGATGAAATGGCCAAGGAACTACAGGTTCCATCTCATTTGGCCATGGCTGCCCTTGGCGCCACCATGAACGGGAAGCAGATCAATGAGCAGGCGGCAAGAGATATGATTCAATTTGAACTTGATCTCATCAAAGATATTCCCACGGATAGCCCCAACGTCCAAACACTGACAAAGGAAGGCTTTGACGAATTCCTATCCAGAAGGGCACTGGCCCTCACGGGGAATCAAATGGACGATGCCAGAGCCATCTTGATTGCGGATCAAATGGATGAGCAAGAAGAACGAGAAGAACAGCAAAAGGCAAAGGAACAAGCCGAAAAAGAGCGAGCGGAAAAGGAAAGAGCCGAACGAGAAAAGCAAGAACAAGAACAACAACCAGCATTCAAGGAAGTCAAGACTGACTTTGATCCCACTGCAATACCCGCCGCACAATCGGTTCCGGCACCTGCCCCTAAACCTGCTGCAGACCAAATGCCGAAGCCTGCCGCCAAAGAAAGCGTCGTCTTTGAGGCTACCACTGCTCAGTTGCAAGAGCTTGTGCTAGAGTCGCCTGTCCCTGTGATTCTAGATGTTTATGCTGATTGGTGCGGTCCCTGCAAGGTTCTCACACCTGCACTAGAAGACATGGCAATTAAGGCCGGCGGGATGTTCCGTCTCGTCAAGGTCAATACTGATAATGAACGACCTGTCAGTGCGGCCTTGGAAGTCACGGCATTGCCTACTGTCTTTGGAATTAGCAATGGCAAAATACTTCACATGTTCCAAGGGATGCCTCGTGATGAAAAGGCATTTCAAAACTTTCTAATGGGTTTGCTGGGAGCGGCACCATTTGCCCCGCCCGTAACAGTAGAGCAATCCGAAAAGTACGAAGAATTGACGACCAGCTTGATCAAGACTGCCGGTGCTGCAGCCTTCTCGTTTAGTGCCAGAGAACGACTCACCGATCACATCACAACCAAACTGGATGCTCTACATCAAAACCAAGAGGTAGACGATGTCGAAGCGTCTGCGACACTGCTGCGTACATTATTCAACAATGTTGTCAAGAATCCGTACGAGCCCAAATTCCGTAAAGTGAATCTAAACAATCCACGCATTGCCACCAGCATTGGGGCTAGCAAGAATGCACTTGGCGTGTTGAAGGGCGTTGGATACACTAAAAACGAGGACAATGAAATGTGGCTTGCCAAGGGCAAAAAGGTCATCAACGTGGCACCACTGGTGGTGGCGCGTGATGTCATTGACAAATGGGTTCAGACCAATCGACGGGAAATGGCCAAGGCGGCTCGAAAGAGAAAGGATGAAGCTGACCGGGCTAAATTGGAATTGGAGCAAGACGACGAAGAGGACGAGGAAGAAGAGGAGGAGGAAGAGATTGATCCAACAATTTGCAACCTCAAACTGCGTTTGGATGGCAAAAAGAAGGTTCATGAGGTAACCATGAAGGAGAGTGATCCCTTGAGCTCAATATTGGATGTCTTGAAGATTGATGCTTCCGCGGAGGAAGAAGTTCGGATTACGTGCGTTGCCAAGCGGCTGGTGGTCAAGTCTTCCGACGCTGACGCAATGGCCAAATCCTTGAAGGATCACGGTTTAATGCCCGCTGCCGCCATTGTCGTCAAGGTTGGTTCATCTACTGCACCAACTCCAGGAAGCAGTTCCATGAAAGACCGTGTAGCAAAGAGGAAGAAAAAGAAGGGAAGCCATACCATGCAAAGTGTGGGCATCTACTCCACAGAAGACAACGCCAAGGGCGAGTTAGTGGATGGCGGAGGCGGGGTGTGGTACGAACAAGACGTGTCTGATGACGAAGAGGATGAGCCTGCCAAGGAGGAGGAGCAAGCTGATGATGGCAAGGTTGAGGAAAAGGCAAAGGAAGAGCCAGGTGACGAGCCTTCAAAGGCCGAAGATGGCACTAACGATGATGAAGCAGGAGAAACAGAAGGAGAATCATGAACCTGCAAGTATGAAAGATCAAGAACAAGGTTGGCATAGCTAGATAGGACTATTGCAATCGTACGTAGGTCGTGTATACATATTCGAATGCCCACGTGAGGAAGGCTTTGACAAGTCCAGACATGAGCATTGGAGCGATATGAAGGCAGGAGCGAGCCCTCTAGGAAGCAAAGCTCCAAATCTCCAACAAGACAGGGGCAAGAAGCCATACCCAAATGAGGCGCCTATTTGTCTTCAAAGCGGCAGAGTCAGGCACGTCGGGGCTATCCACTGGCTCGTTCAAATCGAGCTCCGACTTCCCCGCAGTAGCAATGTTGAGTTTCACAAGCAGGTCCGGCGCAAACTTCAAATCCAGTTCCGACTTGTCCCCAGTTTCGATGTTGAGTTTCTCAATTTTGTAGCTTCCTGCGGTGACGCGCTCCGTCATTCCTGGTGGTATCACATTTTTGACGCTGTAAGCAAAAGTTCCAGTTTCTTCAAATGAAATGGCATTGAGATTGAAGGCTCCTCTAATCCCAATGCTCGTATCAACAAACCGGACTGCTGTCTCATTGTAGTACCAGAAAGCTTCATCTATGCAATCACAACAAATTCCACGGAGCGCAGCAACTTGTATTTCATCGAATACAGCTGCTGGACCGTTGAAGTAATTTGGATGATATCTTGGATTTCCAGTATGGTGGTAGGTAGAGTAGGACACATTGTCGGGGTTTGAAAGGTCTACAATAGCAACCATACGCTTGCTTGCATGGTTGGGGGCTTCACGGGGCCCGTTGTCACTGGTGTAGAAGTAATAGCCACGTTCGAGTTGACTACTGTACACAAACGCATCCTCTGTGTAAGTTTGTTCCGTTGGTCTAATGTACTCAAATGAAAAGGGCTCGACCAATCCAGGGCCACTCAGGGTGGCAGTGTTTCCATTCTCGTCAATCTCGACGGAAAAGTTTTGGGTTGGTGGTGTCGGTTGGAGGGGTTCGTGAATGAGGACACCTGGCGGAACTCCCACGGAAACATCCCCGGTGATTACGTCTATGGTGATATTCTGAACATGGAATGGTTCTCCCGTGGTCCATGAAAAGGGCTCCGTCTCATTGTATTCGCCCCATAGCGCCACGACCTTGGATGGATCGGAGGTCGTTCGAACAGATTCTTCTACAATGAACGTACCTTCACGAGCTGAGACGGAAATCGAGCAGGCCTCAGCAGTGTTGCTCACACTGAAAGCAAAAAGGGACAATGCAGAGATAATCAAAGTTGCAAGCATCATGGGATTCGACTCACTCAACAGCTCAACAGCAGCGCGGAGGCAAGTGGGTTCAGTTCCGGTATTTATTTGTGAGCCTCCCTGTGCCATGGGGCTGTGTCCCGCCTCTTCGCTTTGCTTGCTTCCAGCCTTCGTGTGGTACATGTACTAAAGGGAATGCTTCAGTCCTGCTTTGGAACATTTCCCGGCCTTTCGGAAACCCCTTTTGGGTTTCCTGAAGTCCCAAACGAAAACACGTCATCGCCCCACATTAGGGCATTCTCTAGTTGTACTCGTCCTAAAAACTCGTCCTAAGCTACTCGTCCTAAACTTAGGACGAGTTTGTAGGACGAACTGGCAATCTCTAAAAAAGTCGTTCTAAAACCAGACTTAAAATAGGACGAGTTTTAGGACGGACGAGTTTCAATCTTTAAAAAGCTGGTTTTAAATCTCGTCCTACCTGCACCTCTCCTCTATTGGCCTATTAAAGTGGTCCTGATAGTGTGGCTAGGAGCTTCCCACGGTACCGGTACCTGTTGAAGTTTGTTATCTTGGTACCAATAGAGGTGCAAGAGTATCTTGGTACGGTACATGTACCGGTACCCATAGAGGTGCAAGAGTATTGGTGCGAATTATTGGTGCGACTCGGAGTTACCAAAGAGGTGCGAGTTGAATCGTGTTAACTCAGTCGTCGATGAGTCGCCGATGACTGATGTCAAAAAGGAGACTCAAGGATTTTTATTAAGGGAATAGAGTGATCTGCCCATTAAGACCCGCAGGAGATTTTAAAAGACTATTGTAATATTCTAGGCTGATACCTTAAGACTATATTATTATTATGGCTATATAGCTAGGACGATTCTTTGGGACGATTCTTTAGAACGAGTTTTATTTTTCGTCGCAATTTCGAAAAATAGGACGCAAATTTCAGGCCGCATCCTCATTTTTGTGAAACAGAGCAACCTCTATTACCGTCCCAGTTTGCTCTCCTCAGCTAGCTAGCCTGCAACGACTCGTCACGGTACCGTGCCTACCCGTACCACCATCTCGACACATCCAACGACCCCCAATAGACCTCAACCTGTATTGGAAGAGGAAAGCATGTTGTCATCAACAACAGCACTTCCCGCCAGAGCGGCCATGAACTACTACAGCAAATCCTCATTCAATCCATTATCTCTGGTATCGGTGCTCTACTCGGCCATGGCCTACCTGTCGATTGCTTGTATCAAGCCCATTCCCATTCTCAATCGGGGACTGCCCAAGCTGCAAGAAATCCCGAAGACGGTATTGACGACACCCAAGGTTGCCATTGTGACTGGATCGAATACTGGAATTGGTTTTGAAACGAGCAAAGCTCTGGTGGAAAGAGGATACCAAGTAATACTGGCATGCCGATCCCAAGACAAGGCTCAGCAAGCCATGGAACGGATGGAACGAGAATTGGGCCCGTCTGCTGCTGGAAAGGCCGTCTATGAAGGATCATTGGATCTATCGAGCTTCCAATCAGTTCATGATTTTAGTCAACTCATTCGCTCCAAATACGACAAAATTGATCTCCTTGTCAACAATGCTGGACGCAACACCAGTGGTCCATCCGAAAAGGGCTTGGATCTCTGCTTTCAAACCAACTTTTTGGGACATTTTCTATTGACCCAAAACTTGATGGATCCATTGCTGCAGGCTGACGCACCACGAGTGGTTAATCTCTCCAGTGTAATGCATCATTACTGCCAAGCCGACACACACGACGAAACCTATTGGCGACAAAGTGCACTCTTTGGAAATCCCCATTCCCGTGAGAGTTCGTACAGTGCTTCCAAATTGGCCGCCCTGTATTTTACCATGGAACTCAATCGCCGCTATCGAGCCAACGGTTTGCGTTCCATTGCCGTGAATCCCGGAGCCGTCAATTCGGATATCTGGAGGGATTATCCGCCATTGATACAGGCCATTAACAAACGAATCTTTCTCAACAATCAACAGGGATCTTACACAAGCGTTGCAGCAAGTGTTTTGGACAATTTGCCCCCAGATGTGATTTATTTGCAACCGTATCATCAAGTCCAGGGGAGCAGCAGCACTCCCTTTCCTGTCTTTGAAATGCTGGGTCCTTTTGTTGGTTATCAAGCTATACAGCCCCGTCTCCCCAAAGATGGGACCAATGGAGAATTGACAGCGCGGATACTCTGGAATGTTAGTGAAGATCTGGTTTCCACCAAAAAAGTAGACTGATTTCTATAAAGGTATTGCTAGCTATAAGACAATTATCAAATTCTAAATTGCTAGCTAGTAGCATCCTTTTCTTCTTCTTTTTTTGTACTTTTTTTTGAAAATTAAAGACAGGGTTTGGTCTGGTATGGTTGGATTTTACAGAATTCGCTAGCAGGATCATCAGAGCCATATTGTAGCTGCCCAAGTGAGGGCAATGCTCCATCGAGCAGAAACAAAGTAGCGAACCACAGGCTAAGGTTTAGACTGGACCACTTGCTAGCCAAATGCTGGGAGAGCCGTTTTTACTACTAGGGTATGACAAAAGTGATTAGTTGAAGGGGCTCCAGAGAGGAGAATGAGGAGCATTAAGCTACTCTGGATTCAAGCATCTAGTTGCACATGTTTTTTGAGTGCACATGTATGGCACAAAAGTGAATATTTGAAGTGGTCCAGCTATTTCGCAGTAGGCTGCTGGTACATGTATTGTATTACCGTATGCTACTGGTATCGGTAGCACATGGAGTGCACTACCAGCGCTTTTTTTGCCCCCCCCCTCTGCGACTTATCATTGCCGTGGTACCGGTAACCAAAGGCCCTGGTCAATTGTTGTCCTCTCGATTGTAGCGCACTTCCATTGAGTCGACAAGGTGATCCACTGCTAGCTGGTGCCACTACCGGAACCCCTTCTGATATTTCAAACCGTTCACGAACCAACATGGCATCCACAGACGCCGAGAGCAAGTCAACCGAAGCAGCGACTTCTTTGCAGCGCAATGGCTTCAAAATGAAGTTCAAACCAGGCTGTGCCGAAGAATATAAGAAGCGCCACGATGATATTTTTAAAATAATTTTTGCCCAAGTTATCCAATTTACTCAAAGATACCGGTACCGCTACAGCAACCCCTGACAAGCTAGCTTGGCTTTCAGTCATGGTTCTTTGTTATCTTAAAAACAGGGCATTCAGTCATGCTTGGACCTAAACTCGATTGACAGCAGCGCATAGAGAGCCTACCGATACTGTGCACGCGAATCTCAATGCTTACCTTCACGTGACACATGGACCATCCACACTACGACTGTACCTGGTACCAGTCTGGTACCGGTGGTACGGGACCAGTACTCTACCTGGTAATAGAGTACCAGGTACAGGGGTGGTTTGTACAGTATTTTGTATTATACTCAGCTTAACAAATGGAAACTGGTCACGGTACCAACACATATGCAAACTAGTTTCTTGGCATCTCGACGGAACCAACCAACAACCAACAACGACACCACAAAAAGACAGGGTCTGCGCAATAAAACCTGAACCTGCCAACAACATTGAAAGAAGAAACCATGTTGTCATCAACAATGGCGCTTCCCGCCAGAGCGGCCATGAACTACTACAGCAAATCCAGATCGTTCAGTTTATTGTCTCTGATATCGGTGCTCTACTCGGCCATGGCCTACCTGTTGATTGCTTGTATCAAGCTGGTTCCCATTCTCAATCGGGGACTACCCCAGCTGCAAGAAATCCCCAAGATTGTCTTGGCGACACCCAAGGTTGCCATTGTGACTGGGTCGAATACTGGAATTGGTTTTGAAACCAGCAAAGCTCTGGTGGACCGAGGATACCAAGTGATACTGGCATGCCGATCCCAAGAAAAGGCTCAGCAAGCCATGGAACGGATGGAGCGAGAATTGGGCCCGTCTGCTGCTGGAAAGGCCGTCTACGAAGGATCACTGGATCTATCGAGCTTCCAATCAGTTCATGATTTTAGTCAACTCATTCGCTCCAAATACGAGAAAATTGATCTCCTTGTCAACAATGCTGGACGCAACACCAGTGGTCCATCCGAAAAGGGCTTGGATCTCTGCTTTCAAACCAACTTTTTGGGGCATTTTCTATTGACCCAAAACTTGATGGATTCATTGCTGCGGGCCGACCAACCACGAGTGGTTAATCTCTCCAGTGTAATGCATCATTTCTGTAAAGCCGACAGACACGATGAAACATATTGGCAACAAATTGCCTTCTTTGGAAATCCTCATTCCCAGGAGTATTCGTACAGTGCTTCCAAATTAGCCGCCCTGCATTTTACCATTGAACTCAATCGCCGCTATGGAGCCCAGGGCTTGCGTTCCATTGCCGTGAATCCCGGTGTCGTCAATTCGGATATCTGGAGGCATGCTTCGCCAAAGATGCAGGCCATTTACAAACGGATCTTCCTGGACAATCAACAAGGATCCTACACGAGCGTCGCGGCCAGCGTTTTGGACAATTTGCCCCCAGATGTGATTTATTTGCAACCCTATCATCAAGTTCAGAAGAGCAACACTCCCTTTCCTGTCTTTGAAATTATGGGTCCCTTTGTTGGTTATCAAGCTACACAGCCCCGTCTCCCCAAAGATGGGACCAATGGGGAATTGTCAGCACGGATACTCTGGAATGTCAGTGAAGATCTGGTTTCCACCCATAAAGTAGACTGATGTCTATAAAGGTATAGCTTGCTATAACACAGTTATCACAAGATATCTGCATGTTTTCTGTTCAGTGCTCGGGTTGAATCTTTGCAGTTCACAATCCGTCCTGACCCTCAAGCCTCGAGCAGGGAACAGTGGACCAAATAATGCAAGCGGTACCAAAAGCAGTCACGGAAACCCTTTCAGCTGATTTGGCTGTAATCTTCCCCCATCGCAGGACTTATCATGGTCGTAAAATCAGTCTTAGTATCTCAAACTCTTACTTAGGAGTAGAGCTCCAAAAGTGGTTCATCTGTTCATCTTAGTGGGAATGTTCATTTTTCTATTGGAGGCAGTTGCAGCAGTTGCGACGTTGGAAGCGGGTCTCCCTTTGGCCGGGACAGTTTCAATTGGCATCTCATTCTTCTTGGAAAACAACAAGCAATCCAAGAGGCTATTGGCCAGCTTAACATAATGACACAACGGACCACTCATCAATGAGACAGTCAGAAAAACGGGAGGGAAGCAAGACATCTTTATCATCATGACGCCTCGGGAGTATCAAGAATTGCACGACAGTTTCAACCTATTTGACGAAAAGATGGGGTTTCTGCAATTATCCCAATCGACCAATGATATGGTATCGGAAGAAGTGAGAAACTTTGGAGAACAACGAACCGACCATCGCCGTCGAAGGTCCGCCACATCCTTGGAAGTAGGAAGTGTGCACAACAATAGCCAGCGCAAATCGTTTCCCGTCAATGAACACCGTGGCAAGCGACGAACGGGACGCAAAAGTACCGGACAAAGTACCAAAAACAATACTACTAATGAATCCCCGGCACGGCGTCGCGATCGCAGCACCAGCAATTCACGTGATCGGAGTAACAGCAATTCACGCGATCGCAGCACCAGTACCACCCGATCCGGTGGGAGCAGTAAAATCCGAGGCCGAAGCAGCAGTGTGGCCAATAAACGAAATAGCCATTCGAGGCAGAACAGCAAGAGTTCCTTGAGCACTAAAAAGACTGCCAGTAAGAGTCCCAAGCGATCATCTTCCAAAGAACATACTAATACGACAATACCCAAACCGTCCTTGCAACGCAATAAAAGTGGTCCTGGAAGATTGCAGGACAGTTCCAAGAATCTTGACTATAATGACGCCAACGAAGAGGAGGAAGAAGAAGAAGAGGAAGTGCCCCCAAGATTATCATCTTCCAAACGAGTTAGCAGTAGCAGTAGTAGCAACAAGAAAAATCGTGGAAGAAGTCGCAAACAACGAAGCAGTCTACCCGCCAACGAACCTCGCTCGGGCCCCAAAAAAGTTCCACCCGAAGCGTCTCCTTCTCCGTCCGTGCGAAAAAGCAAAAATACCGCTTTGCACTTATTTGATCGCAGTGTCGGATCCGAAGAAAGCTTTTTTGCAGAGGAAGATGATCCCACTCGACGGTTGGTCAAGGAAGCGGGGTATCTAGAGGCCAGCGAGTACATTAGCAACTCCAGGTCGGTTTCGCAGAGTCGAGCCAAAAGGGACGACAAAAACAATAATAATGCATCTTCCAGCACCATGAGGTCGGTGTCGCTCAGTCGCAAAAAAGACCACGGTAACAACAATACATCGGCCAGCTCTCTGAGGTCAGGGTCGCTAAGTCGCAAAAAAGACGATAGAAACAATACATCCTCCAGTACTCTGAGATCAGGGTCGCTAAGTCGCAAAAAAGACGACAGAAACAACAACACATCCTCCAGTACTTTGAGGTCGGGGTCGGTCAGCCGAAATTCTGTCAGCAGGAATAACACCTCGTCGAGCACTCTGAGGTCAGCGTCACAGAGCCGGGCCAAACGAGACGACAAAAACAGTACATCTGCAAGTTCCTTACGGTCCGCGTCACTCAGCCGGGCCAAAAGGGAAGACAGAAATCATTCCTCTGCCAGCTCCTTTCGGTCACAGTCTCTAAGCCGGGCCAAAAGGGAAGACAGGAACCATTCGTCTGCCAGCTCGTTGCGATCACAGTCTCTGAGCCGTGCCAAAAACGAAGACAAAAACAATACATCTGCGAGTACTTTAAAGTCAGGGTCTATAACCACCGGAAGCAAGGAAGCTAGTAGAAATGACGAGGACGATTTCAAAATCATCCGGTCAGCTTCCCTGAGCCGACCCAAGGGCGTGGATGACTACAAGGATGACAAAAATAAGAAAAGATCGTCCTCCATCATGAGCAGAAAACGAGAGTCCGCCAAAAGCAGTAAGGATGAGAACGACAGCAGCGGCAACAATCCAAAGTCGACAGCACCGAGGAAAAAGGAATCGTCAGGGAAAACCAAAAACAACAACAACAACAACAACAACAAGTCTCTGAAAAGAATAGGAACATATTTCCCCAAAAACGAGCCACGGGGTGGTCTTGTTCGTCGTCGGTCATTCACAGATGCTTCGTCCATTTTAATTTTTGATGATGAAGACGCCAGTATTATGAGCGATGAAAGGAGCGTGGGAACACGACAAACAATCCTGGACATTCTGGCTTCACCCACCACATCTCGACCCAAGTTGTCCTTTCCAATTCAAAGAAGGGTCCCGAGTCAACCCCATCCGGAACACTTGAAACGAAAGAGCCGCACGGCAACAGCAAAAGACAAAACCCGCAGTTCTTCAAAATCCAAGCGAAAAAGCCGAGCCCAAGGCAACATGCCGACGGCTGTCCCAATGACGCCATCCCGCCTTCCCAATCTTCTGGCACCGCATTCTGATGATGAGCACGAGGATGGACATGATTCTCATAAGAATCTGCTGGAAAACATTAGCATTTCGGATATTATGAGTCCAGTCAAGAGTAAAAACCTTTTGGAAAGGATCGCGAAGGATGCCGCTTTGGCCCTTACAGATCGATGGCACACGGTCCCAGTGGGCGCGACACCTGCACCAGAAACCAGTGGCAAAAATAGCGCCAACAACAATAGCAACGGCGAGAACTCTCCGGAACCTTTCGTTGGTTTCAAAAACAATGACGATACCCAGGATGAAACAGAAGAAGAAGCAGTACCGCCTGTTCGTGCTGGCAGTGCAGCTGAGCGAGAGGCCAGACGCAGAAGCCGCAGAGAACGCATTAAGGAAAAAACTGGAGGAGGAGAAGTACGCAAACGACGGAGCGAAAACGTAACATCGCCCAAGCGTCGGGAACGCAAGCATTCGGACGCAATGATGAGCAAGTCCGACACTCACTTTTCCGTGCGTCGACGGTCGACAGCCCCTAGTGCAGGCCAACGGCGTCAGTCAGCAAGCCGCAGTCGATCCCGATCGAACTCGCGGTCGTTGTCGCGGTCTGCCCGTTTGCGGCCCCGAAACTCCTTGGCAGCCAACCCAGAGGAGCAAGCCAACTTTCATCGACGTGCAGAGTCGATCTTTACACCCAAACTCGACAATGATGATACTGGGGGGGAATCCGACGTCAGCGATCGAATGGAGCACGAGATCAAGCCAGAACCTCCAAGGCGAACGTCCTTGCTGACTATGCAGACACTATATGGGGGAGGTCGAGTGGAGACTGGAGTTGCGGAAAAGGACGATTCGGAACAAGGGGAGCGAGGCAAGCGCTCAGCATCGCTTGGTCCAACGAGGAATTCGCAACGCAAACTACCTGTGGAGGAAGATCTAGACGTGGCTCAACATTCAGGAAGTAGAATGCTATCGTCAGTTTCCGACACGGGTTATCGGATGCGAACAGCTTCGACTGGAAGAGCCAGTAGACGGCGTCTTTTTGATTCTTCTGGGGCTTTGGATACCGAAGCGGTGAAACGAGGTGGACGGAATCGTCTTGCCAAAGAAAGAAAGAGCCGAACTTCCTCTTCAGACTTGGAAAACGACTTCAACAAGAGCGACATGGAATTGTCACACGAGAGCGCGAGCACTTTGAAGAGCAACGCGGGAAGCCGGGGAAGTAACAAATCCGGTTCAACTCACCATCAAAATCAGCGGCGAAGGAGGCACACAGTGGCGAAAGATCAGTTGCACAAGAGCATCTCGACCATACCCGACTTGGAGCCCATGGAAGAGGAGGCATTGGTTGCGGCCTCAGCTCATTCCAAGGCCCAAAAGTTGGACTCTATATCAGAGCAGGTGTGGCAAAGAAGACGTCGCGCTTCTTCCGTGGGCAGAGATGAAATTTAGACGAAAATTTCATCACGGTAACGCTCTAAAACTAGCTTGTATCTTGTGGAAGCAAAGAAGCCGTGTTCAACCTGCCTACTACCATCAAATCCTCGATCCGTCAGCTTGCTGTCGCCGATATGATCTTACGAAAAGGTGTTTCGACTGCCAATGTACCCCAATAGCCTGAAGGAGGAGCGTCCGAACCCCAGAGTCGGACCCTTAACAAGATCAGCGAAAAGCGAAGACGACGTCGAGACTGGGGGGCATCATGAAATTTGAATGTATCCGTTACAATAGCTGACTACAACTAGTTCAAAGATGCTTGCACTAGCAGCCATGGGAGCTCTGTTGGAATAATGAATTGCGTTGCTTCATCGAAGCTTGTAGCTATAAGCACTCTTGGTCTTGTGGCAGGTTGACTTCTAGCTACCTAGTAGGAGTAGCAGTAGCAGTTGCCGTTAGAGGCTGAATTGGGTACCGGTAGAGGAGCAAATAGATACAAAAAGCAAGTTTGATAAGGAAAGCCCCCTCTGAATTATCGACGGACACAAAGTCAGGTACCACACGACTTACCCGAGTAGCTTCTTTCCTTCTTTTGACTCGAAGTTCAGACCAGGGAGACTGATTGCCGGAGGCTTGTCTTGCCCCTTGACCACTGTTCCCTGTCCAAACGTCCCACCTAGGATACCCACTTCGCCTCCTTCGCTACTAACAGACCCAGAGAGTCCATCACGTCTGTCATCTTGGGCGCAGTAATCAAGGCAGCTTTCAGTACAGTAGTTGGAAGTATCGTTGGGTACCACCTGCTTGCAATTCTTGACGCAATCCTGCAAACAGTCTGGTTTTGCCAATGCCGGTTGAGGAGCACTGGACCAACCAAGGGCAAAACTGGATAAGAGAATTCCGGCTGCGGGTGTTCCCATCAGAAATGATCTTCTCGAGAGTTCGCCATCTTCTTCTGCCGCAGTCGACGACTCGTGTGATGCCAGGGAGATGAGGGGCGATGTTTGCTTTCCAGCTGTGGATGTGAAGGCCAAGGCCACTGGAAGCAGGACAGCGAGGGCAATCAAAAGTGTGCGAGATACACTGTCGACTTGTTGTCGTGAGTTAGCCATGGTGAATTCCTCTGCTGTTGTGGTGGTACAGTCGTAGTTTCTTCCAATGGCTTCAAGCTAGCAAGTAGTGCTTCCGACAAAGATTTGTCTGTTGTTGTGAGGTGAGAGCTTGATGGCAACGTGATGGTCACCCGCGCCACTCAATTTGTACGGTATCTTTTTAGCGTTAGGGTCACTCATAGAAGCTCAACAGCTGCCCCCCTAACCTTCTTCGCCCCAACAAGACCTTGCACGGATCCTTTTAATAAAACAAAAACTACATGTACGGTAATGTAACTCTTGCTTGCTGTTGGCTCAACCTCGCGATGGACGGGCAACGCTGTTGCTACGTCCACGAGCACCTCTTTGATCATTCGGTTTGGTGTGCGGGGCCTCGGAGCTACCTGAAGCAGCAGCAAACTGGTAGGCCATGGCCGGCTAGAAATTCTGGCTGCCATCCAACAGATTGCTCCTACGATAAACGCACGCCCAATATTCATTCAGTTGTGTTTCGATTATCTTTTACTTTCTCAAAACTAAAACTACAATTTCCAAAAAAGGGGTGTCTTCTGAAATGGGCAAAACTTGCAACATGCATCCACCATCCTCATCAACCAACGTGTGACAACTGCCGCCATCCTCTTGATGGCCGATCTATCTATCGAGCCAACAAAAATCCAGACTGGCTAGTCACTGCACCAAAATACGCTGGTTGAGTTTTGTCTGCTTGCTTGCTTTCTTCCTTTACTCTTCCTTGGTCAAACCGTTAAGCTTCATTTCGTGGTCATTCAAACCACTGTTGCCCCAGTCATACCAACCAACACCCTTGACGGTGGTGTAAGCCAGAGTGGCAGGCAACAAGGCTGATCCAGCCCAAGATCCGGCAATGGCACTTCCTGCAACAGTTCCCAGAGCAGGGGCCACATATGGCTCAAACCAGGCAGTGCACGTTCCAATGTAGGTAGAATAAAGGCCACTCTTCAATTCTTGTTCTCGGTGTCCTTCGTGTTGGGGGTTCAAGGCGGCATCTCCAGCACAGTACATGGCAACACCACCAAAGATGAACAAAAAGGTGTGGGCGACAAATGTGGCAGGGGACTTGGCAAAGCATAGGGGGCGTCCCAAGTACTTTCCAAAGAAATGTTGAGAGGTGTGGTCGGTAATGGCCAAGCAACCAGCGACGCCGACAATGTGCTGTGTGCGCGTTCCCCACCAGTTCTGATCCACGGGGCGGCCAATGAATTGGTTAAAGTATCCATAGTCCATCTGTTGTTGTTGTCGTTAATGTTGTTGTTTGTAGTTGTACCGGTAGCAGTAATCAGGTCAATAAAAGCGTGAAAACAATTGATTGAAAAGGCCAGTGTGAGATCAAGAGCAAGTGGACCAGAAAATACGTTCGCAAAGAAAAAGGGCGCTCACCTTTTGGGTTGGATGCTGCAAAAAGTTGGACAAGAAATCTGCCGTCATATAAGTGGCAAATGTGGTTGCCACGGCAGAAGCTGCGAAAACAGATGCCTGAGCGGCTTCTCCAGAAGCTTCCCCACCAGCCGAAGAAGTGGACTTGAAGCGGCGGAAGGCGCCATTGAACAGGTTTCGAGAGGCTCGGTTAAACAACATTTTTCTCGGTCAGGTTAAAATAGTAAAGGTAGTAACACTGAATCGAATCAAGACGCAAAATTGAAAATAAATGAGAGAGAGAGAGAGAGTTCTTTTCCTCTTCCCACACAAAATCGAATCCTTTTTCTGTGGATGAGAATGGTAGCACCGAGAAGGCAGAGCCAAAGATACTAGCTCTAGCTAGTAGGCAAACAAAGATACCATCCTTTGGTAATGCAACGCTCTTGGAGGTTGGTGCTTCCTCCACCAGGCTCTTGATGACAACAAGAGCCTCACAAGAGGAAGAACAAGGATTTGAGAACCCTTTGAGAGGGAAAAGTGTGTTAGGGTAGCACGATCAACCATCCAAAAGAAGCAAAAGATCCTCCCAGGCATGGATGAAAGTTCATTACTGCCGGAATTTGTGCACCACCTGAAGCATTAGTGACCACTACTCATGGCAATTATACCAAGCCTTTCGCTCGAGTAGCCAGCTAGCCAGCTAGCTAGCTAGCTAGACAGTGTTTGCAGCAATTGGACAGGAGATTGAGCACGGATGGCACCTCTACAGAGGAAGGGAAGGAAACCGAGCAAGGGCTGGATAAATGAACAGCTTGGAAGCAGTGGTTCAAGTACACGCAAGTGACAAGAGTTGAGCAACTACCATTTCAAGAGTGTTTGTGGCGGTGGGCCTGCTTCAGAGTTGCTGGAGTATTAGCTTACACATCGCCAGTGGAACAGCATCCTCTCGCTACCGGTAGCTAACTACTAGAAACCAACGTGTAGTTGGTACCTTGAAATGCGGTGAAGACCATGCTTACTACTACGGTACCGGTAGCTCTGGCTAGTCCTCAGTCGAGTCTAGTATGCATAGCTACCATGGTACCGGTACCGGTACCAGGCAGCTCCGTCCGCGTCCTGATGATCCAACATTCGGTCCAGTGAGTCACCAATGGATTGAATCCGTGACTTTCAAAGATACTCACGTCATAGATCTCGATCTCCAAAGATCTGACACCAACCACGGTTCTTGGCTTGCCGCTGATTCATTGCTAGAGCTCAATGCATTACAGTTGCCACCGATAGACACAAACTACAAGCTTTCTAAAGCAAGTTTTAGTTGACCATCATGAAGCTCGGAGCATTCCTTATCTCGTCGGCAGCGGCATTGGCAGTGTCAGATGCTTTTTCCCCCGTCCAACAATCCGTCCGAAACAGCAATGTTGTCCAGTTGCGAAGCAGCAAACAATCGGAAGATTCCTGGCAAAATCAAGTTGGCAAAATACTGGCCACTGGTCTAGTGACCGCATCTCTTTGGGCGGCACCTGCAACAACAATACTGCAACATAATCCTTATTTTGACCAACTGACTTCGTCGTCGGTGGCCAATGCGAAACAAATGGCTTCGGCGTCAGGATCCCGAGTCAACAAGGACCCAGAATCACTCCTTCGATATGGGCTTCCCATCAACAGCAAAGAGGTGCGTTTGGATTGATATACTCTATGAGACCCTGGTGGGATTGGCAGGTTCTCGAACTTGTAGGATTGCCTTGCTTGTGCTGCACTTAACCATTATTAAATTTTGCTGTTCTGTTCGATTAGGCTCGAAAGCTGCAGGGAGAAATTGAAGCTATTAAACAAGATGTGGGAACGAAACGAAAAGCTGCTGCTCTTGACCATGTCAGGACTGCGAAGCGCATGCTGAATGATGCTAACCTGATCAAAGCATGCCGAGACGGCAAGATTTGTACCTCCATTGTCGAAAAAATGAGCACTGAAATTGAGCCCATTTCTGCAGCACTGAAAGATTCCATGGAAACTCTTAATGGGTCCGAGCAAGAACGCCAAGCTCTGGACAAGGCATACGTTAGCCAAGACAGACTGTCAAAGCTGCTGACATCCTTAGAAGAGCAAATGATACCAGAAAACTATGAGGTCAAGGTGCCTAGTGCCTATGATGATTTGCCTCAACTAAAGAAGCGGGCAACTGTGGAAATGGTATTCAAAAAGCCCAATAATGAACCCTTCGATGTGAATGGCCAAAACTACAAAGAAGCAAAGATGAAAATGGTGATTGATGGGTACACTTGTAAGCAGCTGGAGACTGTCTTGTTTGGAAATTCAACAATCTAACTAACACATCTCGTGCTGGTTGGTGTTGGCGCTCTGCTGGTTGTGTTTACCTGGTCATTGTTACCATCATTTCTGGTTTGGGCCTTACTAATAGCTCCTGTGACGGGAGGAAACTTTGTGGATTTGGTGCTAAAGGGGTTCTACAACAATATGGAGATCCAAAGATCTGATGGCTTTGTCGTTCAAACAGGCGATCCTGCAGGAGAGGCTGATGGGTATGTCGGAACCGCTGGAAAAGCTCTTGGTGCTGGCAAGCACGGTGAACGTTTAATCCCGTTGGAGATCTTTGTGGTTGATGACAAGGCACCAACCTACGAAGTATCAATCGAAGAAGATGGACGAGGTGGGCAGGCTACCGTGCTTCCTTTCTCAGCATATGGTGCCATGGGATGGGCTCGAGAGGAGTATGATCCCAACAGTGGCAGCTCTCAATTCTTTTGGCTCCTTTTCGATTCTGATTTGACCCCCGCGGGCAAGAATGTCTTGGATGGAAACTATCCATGGTAAGGCAGTCATGTTTATCGTGGTGCATCGCTCTGTTCCTCTCTAACAGTTTCTGCTTTCCCTTCTTTCAGCTTTGGGTATGTTGTCGAGGGAGAAGATTTCTTGCGTGATATCAAGGAAGGTGACACGATCGTGTCCGCAAAGGTCACAGAAGGCAAAGAAAATCTGGTCCAGCCGAAGTGAGCTAGCTACTAATGTCAACTAGAGCAACTAATTTCAAGTAGACTGTCGCTCAGTCTCCTCCTTGTAACACGTATCGTACAAAGCAAAAGCAAGGTAAGAGATCATGACAGATCTCATGCTGGTAGCTTCGCCTTCCACTGAACGGTACAGATTAGAACACAGACGGTGTCGCCCTGCGCAAACGGACAGATAACGTTCAACCGAAACACCTCAGTTTATCCTCAACCTTTTCGACTACACCCGAACCTTCAATAGAGTACTCTTTTTTCACAGTCATGAATTCAAACAGACTTCACGTGACAGGCTTTCTCTCATTCCTCCTCCATCCACCAAAACCACACAATGGCGTCTATCGGTATGGACAGCCTCAGTTGAGGGATCTCGCTCCTCCTGCTACCTGGTACTAGCTATTACGGGTAAGTCTAATATCAAGTGTGTTATTATTGAAGGTGCAGCACTAACATCTCTCTCTCATTGAATTCCTATTGTAAACAGGAGAGAAATCCAAGCTTGACCGTTACCAGTATCCAAGGGGATGGATTGATCGAATCGATCGCAATGAGGTAATAAGCATACGATATTATCAAGAGTGTTATTGAAGGTACAGCGCTGACTTCTCTCCCTCGTTGAATTTCTATGGTAAACAGGAGAGAATTCCAAGCTCGGCCATCAAAGGTGAGTTGGCATTTAATTATTCGAATCGAATCGGTCGCACCTCTATTGTCAAGCCTCACTCAAGCCGGTCGTCTCCGGTGCAGATTCGAAAGCCATCCCTCATTGAATCCTATGGACCATGGGATGGCAGTCAGTTCTCGGCCCATGACGGCCAAGTTGGTGCAATTTGAAAAGCAAGAGTACGTCGCCGGTTTTCTTCAGTATCAGAAGAGAAGAGAAAACCATATCTATTTCTTACTTTCTGTTCTCTCACTGCTGACGGCCAAGGAAATCCCATTGTCGAGGTCGAACGAACGAAACGATCGCTCCAGATAACAGGAAGAGGAGAGGCTACCGCACGGAGAAGACTGTTAACTCCAGTCCTACCAACAGCATGAACAAACGTCGTCGAGTCATTGAAAAGGCAACAAGAGGAGGAGGCTACACGACAACTCGAAACGCACAGAGGAGAGTGCATCCTGCTACTGGATTCACCCCTCCAGTGTTATTTCCTAGTGTTTTGGTGGTGATTCCTGTGTCTGTACCCATTTTCCTGCATGCACAAGTCCTGGTACATTAAGATAGACGTAACTAGCTAGGAAGACAATAGAACGCCAATTACCAACCAATAGACCATACCCATTACACTACTCTAGACACCTTGTCGATTCAATAGCATTGCTGGGTCCAGGTTCCGTGAGCTTAACTCATACGGGTAGACTCTCTCTGAAGTTTTGGTTTCACAAACAAAAACTTCCAATTTGGTTTTGGTCAGACCGACCAACTAACTGTTCAGTTGAGCAGGGCGAGACCGTCTGTGACATAATCCTTGTCAAGAAGGGAGGGAGACTTCGCATATGGGCTCTCTCTGTGGTTTTCTCTTCACCGCTCCCTCCAACACTATCAGCTAGCTAGAAGTTGTGGAGATCATCGACAACCAGATCTGTCATCCTCTCGCCCTTACTCGCTGTCCCCCAACTGAATATCCTAATAATGAACTGCACTTCCACTACGGCACTGTTAGAAAAGATGGTACATGTAGCGGTGGTGTAAATTGAGTATGGTTTTTACTTTGATGGATGGCGTGCAGCCACGAGGATCAGGTAGCCAAATTAGAACAAACCCAAAAACTTTCCCTTCTTCAGTTTCTTCTCGTCTTTTTCCAATTCTACCAAGAGACGATCCTTCTTTGCTTGGGCAGCCAACCGGGCTTCTTCCTGTGCCTGCAGTTGTTTGGTGGTCAAAGCTGCCTTTTTCTGGTATTTGTCTGCAGATTCGAGCACCAACTTGACTGTGGATCCAGCACGGACACGGATGGCTGCAAGTACACGCGTCAGACCAACTCCTCGGGTACTCCACATGTCATCTCCAAAAGTTGCCGAACACATCGTCACAATATCACCTTCCTTCACCTGTTGGATTTTGCAGCGTAGAAACAAAACATGACAAGGTCAGCCTTGTTAATCTGCATCAGGGGAAAGTACTCCGGTATCTCCTCCTCTCACCTTTCCGGTCCTAGCGGCATTTCCATTTGGTGCAACAGTCTTCCGAGAGAATAAATGATGAGTAAGACAAGAAGAAATGACCAAAAATCACTTTTGGCAGCAAGATGCACTATCTCTCTCTCACCTCCACATAGACATTTCCACGGCCATCCTCAGCCAGGATCACTCCCAGCGGACGGACCAACTCGACGACAGTGTCGTCTGCGCCAGCATTTCGACTTGATCTGGCCCAGCGCAAGAGATCGTCATCGTTTGCCATGTTGAGCGCTGTCGTCGACGAGATCTGAGTTGGCTTTGCCGCAGGGGCAAACGCAGCGGCACCATGAAAAAGGGCAGCGATGGCCAAGGTGAACACGGACAGCTTGCGGTACATTTTGAAATCAGTGCAAAGGTAGCTCAACGAGTATTGTGATGCCTAGCTAGCTGAGGGTAAGGCAATCAGATTGGTGTCCTGTCCGGATGACACATCGCATGGTCAGCCCAATCTTCTGTCCGCAGTCAGAACACCATCTTGTGGCAACTCACTTTCACAGTTGCCACCAACACGTCATTGTTTTCACTTTCCACGGGCTATTTTCCACGCCACGGTCTCGAGTTGCATTCTTGCACTCCGAACACCCAGTGCACGTGCCGATGATGCTGAGAGGGAAATGGACCCTCAGTACCGGTATCGATAAGCTCTGCTATCATACAAGGAATCTATGGAAACTAACGGCATGAGACTGATACGGAATGGTGTACTCAGCTGTCGGTTTTTGCATGTGGGAGGGTCGTTTTCTGTTTCGGCACACGGAGCGTTGCAAGGAAAATTGAGGTTCAGTTTCTATCGTGGACTTGAAATATTTTTGAAAACGAGGAAAATAGTAGATGATTCCCATCGAAAGATGTTCGATGGAAGAAACGAATGAGTGAAGTGTCGTTGTCAACAGCAAGAACACCGTGATGGTCAACAGAAGTGATTGCCTGTTTGTTATCGACCCACAATTTGCCGCTGAAGCAAGTAAGATAATACCACAACTAGCTAGCTTGAAAGAAAACCCCACCAGGAAGCACCCTGCACGAATCTACCATGTTCTTTTCCACCACAACTGATACCACCACCAGCAAGAACGACGGCAACAACAATGACAATGACGCCGGCAACAACATGGACACCAAAGACAAGACTGAAGATACGACTGCAAACGTCAAAGAGGAGCTCCAGCGTGTTCCGAGTGGTACGATGAAGAATTGCCATGTCGACTTTGACTTGATGGACGACCTTCTCGACATAACTGACAAAGACACTGAGTACCGCCGTGCCTGGGTAGCCATTCGAGAGAGCGAGGATTCGTCTGTTTGCAGCGAGGATTCCATGGACCTGATCCCCGATGACAACAGTGTGGACTATCTCACGGCAGCCGTCTCGGAGGTTGTCTCGAACTTTATTCACAAGGTTGTTTTGTGTGGATGCTGGACCGAAGAAACTCCCAAGGAGGTTGTCATTGTCCATGACGTAGTAGCGTAATATATTAGGGGAGGGTTTTGTGAACGCCTCTTGTGTAGTGTAGAATACCGTGTATCGGTACTAGAATCCTCCCTCTTATACATAGACACCACACTGTGTGGCTTCTGCTACTGCCAAGGAAGCAAATCAAGTGAAGCATCTCTGCTCTCTGGCTGTTTAACGGGCTTCTGCGAGTAGGAACACTGCCGTATCAACGGTGACGGCAGATGGTGGCCATGATATCATTCTCGTTGGAACAGCCAGTTTTAGTACATGTACCTCAGCAGCATAGACGTCGCCTCCGTGCTCTCCATAGAATACCGGACCGGACCCTCCCTCGGCACCGGGTTCATCATGTACCGGTACTGTACCACAGGTACAGTGCCGGTACCATCGGCATTCGGCATCCGGGCGAGACTTTTGAACCTACATCGTACCAGGTCAAGCAACCTGACTACGGTAGCTACCGGTACCGTACGGTTGCCCTCAACGGACTGAGGGTCTTTCACACTTTTATCGCTGTATGTGTGTGTGTGTGTGTGTGTGTGTGTTTGTGTGTTTGTTGCAGCTGTTTTCGTCGCTCGTTAAGGATAGGGATTAATCTTGTGTGTTCTGTTGGACACAGTAGTTTCTACGCATGGGTACCAGTACTGGCTGGCTATGCAGACTCGCTAGTGTGTCCAGATAAACACGGTGGAGGTTTTGCCAAAGACATAAGGGACATTTTCCTTGTTAAGGATAGGGATTTATATTGTGTGTTCTGTTGGACACAGTACTCTGGACCCATGGGTACCGATACCACTGTGCCCGTACTGGCTGGCTATGGAGACTTGCTATCAATAGTGTGTCCAGTTGAACACGGTAAATGATTTGACCAATCAAATCTCTTTTTGACAGTTGAGGGCATCAGCCTCCGGCTGCTTGTTCTTAAGTACCGGTACTATGATAAAATATTATTATGAATTAAGGAGTTGGCGTCACTCTCGGCGTCAACCATGCCATGAGCCCATACAAAAAAAACGAACAAAAGTTGCAAAAGTGGTGCCTGTACGGTACCGAAGCAGTATCGGACCGTAAGAGCAATATCATTGAGGGATGCACCATGTCGACACACCCCGTCAACGCAAGTGGTCCAGAAAGGAAAGATCCTAAAGACATTGATTGACTCGACCTTATTCTAGCTAGCTAGCAGCGACGACAGATTTCGTCTTGGTTTTGGGAAATTTTGAGTTCATCAAATTTTGCACCAAAAATGGTGTCCAAGGGCCGATTTTTGCGGCTTGGTGCCTGCCGACCGTAACTCATTGGTCTCCACCGCAACAATAGGATCAGATTCTTTCAATTGTTGTTGTCTCGCATTTTTATCATCGGTGGCGACAATAGGAATCAGATTCGATTCTTTTTAAAAATTGCTGTCTCGATCCTCAGGAGTGTCGTTGTTGACGATGGTGGTATTTCGTGTGATTGGATTCTTCTTCTTTCTGTTCCTGCGAGTTCCGCTGGTATACTGCCAAATCAAAAGGCACTTTCCAAAGCTGTTTCGAGGGAGTCGCTCGGCAGAAGATGAGGTCAGAAATAATCCCAAGCTGGTATCCATCCATGCCATGGATTCTAACAGGACCCTCCACCAACCGCGCAATATGTTTCAAGAAGGCATCATCCACCTCTCCAACGATGTCTGGACGCAGGATGAAATCGAGGTACAACTGTTTCCGTCTGGTGGACAACAATCCGCTACCTATCACTTTCGTCAAAAACCGTCTGATCAGCCAAAACCAAACTTGTTCCATGGCTACAATGACAACGACAACGACAACGACGATGATACCGGCATGGCAGATTCCATATCCTTGGTTCAAACGACCGTGACAGCGTCGCAGATTCCAGTGATTACCGGTAGTATCCACGTGCAAGGGGCTTTGTATCAAATTCGACAATTACCGGGAGGGGACCTGGTTGTGGACCAGCGGGGGAGGGATGAGGACTTTGATGACGAGATTGAAATTGAGGATGAAGAGGCGGAAGAATGGGTAGCTCCAGACCTGCCTGGAAATAATGATCTTGCGCTGGAAGTGGACTTTGCAATGGATCCACACAGGGTCCTCCTTGCAGAAGAAGGATCGGACAGTTTCTCGGCTCTGCAGTACGGCGCTGCATCGGATGACTCCCATTTGCACCACCGAAGGAACTTGATCAACAATAACGATGATGGCAGTCGTATTGATATAATGGTCAGTTTGTGTTACTTGCTTGCTTGCCCATCATGACTGCCTTGACTCTGTCTTGTCTGCCAGGAAGCACGTTGCAACCGGTTCTCTTACGCTTTTCTGCCTGCTACTCTACTCTTACGCTCTACTCTGCCCCAAAACGCTTTCTGGAACAAAAGATTGTATATTCACGAAACGCAATGTGCGCGGCTGCGAAGCAAAACGACAATACATGCCAGCCGTCGTCGCAGAATAAGGCTACCATCGAGGGAATCATTGAGTTGGCAGTCAAAGAGAGCAACGAAGCCTTCGAAGCAAGCAATATTCCCACCAAGCTTCGCTTGGTGAAAGTCCATTTCGACGACCAGGCAAGTCCAGAAAATTGCGTGTCACGCCCGTCACCACGCCATCATTCTGCCAGCATGCCGCTCACAATTCCCTTATTTAGTATGATGATACTCAAGAAGAGTGGCCAACCGTGTTTTCTCATTTCACAGGAACAAAAGATGGGCATATGGACTATGTACACGCTATGAGAGATCAATATGGCGCTGACTTTGTGTCCTTCATTGTCAACACTCGTGGTTATTGCGGCTCTGCCCACCGTCCCAAGACACCAAATCCAGAACGAGCATTCAGCATGGTGAGCAGACAACGTAGAGTAGCGTGTCATTTGAGAGACTGACTGAACTGTCCTCACACTGCCATTCTCGTCGTCGTCGAAGGTGAGGTGGGACTGCGCAACAGGTAAGACAATCGATCTGCTCAAACTCTTATGTTCTGTGTTGTATTACCGTCTCATTCGATCCGTCTATCTGCTACTAGGTCACTACAGTGAGTTTTCGCAAAAAACGTTTGAATCGAATCTACTCTGTTTCCTGCTTTAAGTCGACTTACTGTTTGCTGTTTTCTGCGAAGCATTCACGCATGAGCTTGCTCACACTTTGGTAAGTCATGTTTAAAGGCAACACTTCATCAAAACGTAGCCGAACACTTCGGTAGTGCCACTGCGATAATACTGATTGCCGTCGTTGCTGCTGAACTTGCAGGGATGCCGGCATGATTTAAAGAGCACCAAATCGGAGGTTGAGCCTGGGGATTTCAACTTCGGCTTTCAGTACTCTCCGCCGTCAGACAAAAAAAGAAGATTCCGAACGCTCATGGCATACAACTGTCCTGATGGAGGATGTCAGCGCATTCTCCGGTTTTCAAATCCAAAGAGAACCAGGCAAGGGGTGCCCTTGGGAAATGTGAAATCAGACAACTCAAAGTGGATTCGCTCCCATTTGCGCCTTTACGCTTCCTTCCGCCCCTCCATTGTGCTCACGATACCGAAGAAGCCTCAACCGCAGCTGACTTCTGTGCCTCGCATTCAGAATATCGCAGGTGTTTACCCAACAGAGACACGACAACTTGATACAGTTCCATATCCCGGATCGCTCATTGGTGCTGCTGGCAATATGTTCGAAGTTGTCGCGAAAAAAGATTTGAAGATTACAGGGTTCTCTGTCATGGCCTATGCCGCAACTACCGCAGTTGTAGAGGTTTACAAGCTTAGTGAACTTGGTTCTTTTGTCGGCAACGAGCGCAATCCGCAGGCTTGGCAATTGATTGGCGGTGCTACCCTCGACACCAAAGAAAACAAAGCAAGTGCTCTACCTTTTCAAACTATTGAAGCTGTTGAAGTCAGCAAGGGCGAAACACAATCGTTCTATGTCACATTTCATGCCAATACAAACTACAATCGGTATTCAAGAGCATCACAGTTTGGGGACGTTTTTGCTCAGAACGATGACATCCAATTCAAAGTGGTAAAAGAGCTTGGTAATAAATTTGTTTTCGTAGGGAAGGTTGTCTCACTCTTGCCATCAACTCTACTTTAACCCCAGGGTTACACGGCCAACTATCCATTTACGTATCATCCAAGAGCCCCCCGAGTTTTCAATGGTGAAATTTTCTACGAAGTCGCGTTCCTGCCACAAACGCCCTCTTCTTCATTGCCTGTTCCCTCTCGTGCTTTCCAAACAACATTTTCCTCCAATAATGGATATGCTGGCAACCTCTTCACCATTGAAGCAAAGACTGATTTGATCATCGAGACGTTTGATATCAATGCAGGTTCTAGAGAGGCAGGCTTGGAGCTGAAGATCTATACCAAGCATGGTGATTTTGATAGGTTTGACTTCCAACCAAGCTTGACATGGTTTGAGCTATGCAGCACAACAGTGAATGGCCAAGGCGAATCCAACCCTACGCATGTACCCGCATCAGCTGTCAAAACTGTTGCTGTCAAGGCCAATGATCGCCAAAGCTTCTTCATTACTTTCACTGGGCCCTACATGAAGTATACCAGTGCCCTGCTCGACCCAAACTACCTTACTAACGATGACCTGTCGCTAGTGTCGAGTGCGGGGACACCGCATCCCTTTACGCACTACTTTCCGAACCGTATCTGGAATGGAGTCATATATTATCAAGCAGGGAGCGCATATGATGCTGATTTGCAGGGAATTGACACTGTGGTTACCAATCCTAGACCTGCAGGCAGGCATGATAGAGAGCGGACGGGAAGTTACGGGGCTGTGGCGACCAGAAATCCGCAGTAGGTCCGTTCCCCTCTAAGTACCAGGTACCAAGTAGCGAGAAAGGAAGTACAATAATACCAAGTAGTGAGAAAAACGTTGCTAGCTATCAATAATCTAGTCCTCTCAACTTGGACTTCATGGACTCAGTGCAATAGTTCAATAGTTCATGTAGATGGTCGGTGCACCGGTCTTCGTGATGTTCTCATAGGCTTTTTGGACTTGGAGTAGCCTGATAGCTCACTCTTGTAGGGTCTGAGGTCAAGCTCATTGTACCGGCAGGTGGTCGATGGATCGATCGGTGTCGGCTTGGTAGGCGCTGTAGGTGCCTTTTGGTTGGTTAATAGAAGGTAAGAACAGATGATGCAGGAAATAGTAAGTTGATTTGTGCCACCCCCAATTTGAGAAGTCTCCAATAAGTGGGAGAGTTGATTTCAAAACTGGAGTACTGATACAAATAAATATATATTTCACTTATGATATGCTGTTAGGGGAAGCTATGTGAATATGCAAGAAATCATTGTGGCTCGGTTGTAGGGTGTGGTATGAGGCTTAGCCCCAAATGGGTTTGCGTTGGATTGAACATTCAACAGTATCAGGAGAAGGATGTCAGGTGCAACCAAGCGGCGGGAAGGACCGTCTCGGTTCCCTCGATCCTCGTCTTTGGGTATGCCTCCACGGTTGGCATGGTGGGAAGATTCATGCACAGAGTACTTGATGTATGCTTCTGGTGGACACTCAACGAGAAGTGACAGGAAGGACGCAAATGAAACTCGCAATCCCTTGAGGCCAAAGTGCCGGGAAGAAACACTTTGGCATCGTCTGGGATGTACCAAGATTTCGCCGTTGATGAGTCATTCACCCGTTGCAAAGTGGGAAGACTTTGCGAACAGGTTTTCGTAATCAAACAGTTTTCGCTGCCCAGAAACCTTGGGCACACAACAGCAGCAGGGAATATGAGTGGGAAGAAAGCTACTCGTTGCGTGCGTTTTAGGTCGGAATTGCCATGAGCTCCTTCTGCATGATGGGAAGAGTCACGAGAAGGAAACACCCAATGGGCAAATCTGTCCTTTTCGTTGAAAGCCAAAGGGAAAGAAGCCAAGGTGATGGGAAGAAGCACCCCAGAGACCACCCTCAGAGCCGTTGTCGTGCCTTGTTTGATGCAACCGGGCGGGAAGACAAAATTCGTGTATTAAGTCCAACCAAGAACCAGCAGCACGTCGAAGTACCAGCAAGTCCGTGGGACAAGCCAGTCCTGATACGCCGTCTTCTTTCAATGCCTGCATCTTCTGGGAAGGCCCACGTGGTGGGAAGACCATGTTTCACCCTTCCGATTCCCACAACCCTCTTGCTTTACACCTTCGCTTTACCCCTTTAGAAATCACAGCATTTTCTACCTTTTGTTCTTTTCGTTTTTGTGTATGTTTTTGTGTATGTACATGTTTGTTTCTTCTTCTTGGATGCTCATTCGCTTCCAATCTGCTCATGGGAAATAACTAACTCCCATTGCCACAGCATTCACAAGCAACATTTGCTTTGTCAACCTGGGCCACCTTCAGAAGTCCTGTATTGAAGTTTTCGCACATGTCATTGATATCTCCGGTCAATTCTGGATTGTCATAGAGCGTCAATTCAGACATTTTGTTTTGGGCTTCAAGACCCGGAGGAATCACTCCACTGAAGCCATTGCGGTGCAAATACAATTCCTCTGTTGTCATCAAAGCAGTGCGTGAGTGGTGAGGGCACGACGAATGTTATGCATCATAGTTTGGGGCTCAACGTCTTACCGAAACGTGATTTTCCTTGGAACATGTCTGGGGGGATGGGACCCTGGAATTGGTTTCCATCCAAATGAAGTCGTTCTAAGAAAGCGCAATCGTTAGGTCAGATTCGATCCTTAGATGCAACGGAATGATTCAATCGTAAACAACAGACTCACTCCAGTCCAGTTCACCGAAATCACCCGGAAGCTCCCCTTTCATATCATTGTTTTCTAGGAACAGCACTCCTGTTTTCATGTAATAGCATTGGTGATGAGCATGATCATGTCGTCAAACAGAAGTACCAACAACTCGCTTGAAACTTACTCAGATTCGGTTCAGTCAAAGGAATGTTCGGTGGGATCTCCGAATTGAAGAAATTGTAACCCAAGTCCATGTAGACTGAGAAAAGCACAACAAAACTCATCAGAATGGCTGCCGGCACAAAAACGCAGGACCACCTTCTCTCATCCAAGCACACTCACCCATATCTTCATACTTCCACATGAAGTCGGGAATTTCACCCTTGAAGAGATTGAAGGACAGGATAAAAGTATCTGTTTGCGCGATAGTAAAATAAATAAGCTTGAGTCAATTTTGAACAAGACACGTCGCAGTCAGCACGTCTCTTCCTTACCCAGCTCGGACAGCTTCGCGTAGTCAGGTGGGATTGTTCCTTCCAGAAGATTGTCCGAAAGTGTAACTTCCCCTGAATCATCAAGTCAAGGAGCATGCAATATTAGTCAGTTTGGCAAAGCCGGGAAGCGCCACAACAGCAACAAGGAGTACTCACAAAGACTAGATATCATCGAAATCTCTGGCGGCAGAGTACCGCGCATCTGCTGCCCATAATTTCGGATGATTTGATACTGTTCGGACTTGCCGCAGGGGTCCACACCAATCATTGTGTACCAGTCACATTCGTGTAAATCAGAAACCCATAGCTCGCTCTCGAGCCAATTGTCACCATCAAACTCGCAATACATGATAGCCATCGCAAATCTCTGTCGGACCCTGTGGACTTGAAACTCCATTATATCTTTTCCTGTACGCAGCCACTCCCTGGCCCAATTCTGGCATGTGCCCGGTATATTGAGCAACGCTCGTGTCGAGGGTGGCAGTACAGGGTCGATTGCTCCCATCACAAAACCGCATGACGGATCCTGAGGACAAGGTACACTAGGCACAACAGGTAAGTCCGGCAACACCTGGGGGAGATTAATAGGCGATCCTAGAAGTTCTGGGGGAACCGCTGCCCTTGAAGCAGCTGTCGGTGGGTTCGACATCGCTGCAGCAGTCGCAACTGCGCCCAGTAATCCAGCCTGCAACCCAGACCAAACTGGGACGGGAACGCCCTTCGGGGGCTCTTTCTCCTCTTCTTCTGAGTCATCGTCATCGTAGTCTTCAGGGACGATCATGGGAGGGCCTGGCTTAGGACCAAAACCTTCTTCTTCGTCTTCGTCTCCAGCAGACCACGGCGCTGTGGGGTCGTCAAGGTCTTCGTTCACAGGAGGTTTCTGTTCCTTGGGGGGCTTGGTCCAGTCCCAGGAGTCATCGGTGGGGCTCTCTGCAGCATCTGGTTGAGGCGGGACGCTTCGGCTGAAGTCAAAGCCAGGCTCTGTTGGATGATCGCGATCATGAGGCTCTTCTCCTTCAGCAGGCGGAACGGTGCGCGAGAAGTCAAATCCAGGTCCTCCTTCCTGTGGGCTTCTTCCCCATCCCCACTCGGGGGAGTCGAGTTCCCTAGGCTTGCGTGATACCGAATCAGGGCCATCAGGACCAACAGGTTCTTCAAAAGGCATGGGTCCAGGTGGTGGACCACCCTCTTCCGCTGGCGGGACGCTACGCGAGAAGTCAAAGCCTGGCTCATCAGGCCCCGATTCGCCGGGAGGGACACTCCTTGAGAAATCAAAGCCAGGTCCTGGAGCTCTGGCACTTCGTGTCCAGTCCCAATCGGGGCTATCTGGGTTTTCTGGTCTCGGTGGCACCGATTCCGGCCCGTGTGGAGCATCAGGGACGTTGCGATCAAAATCAAATCCAGGACCAGCTCCTCGACTTCTTTCCCAGTCCCAATCAGGTGATTCAAGTTCCCTGGGCTTTCGTGTTACTGCATCTGGGCCGTCGGGGCCAATTGGTTCGTCGAAAGGCAGAGGTCCTGGTGGTGGGAGGCCCTCTTCAGGCGCATTTCGAGACCAGTCCCACCCGGGGACACTTGGGAAGTCTTCGTCTGCTTCGCGAGGAAGTGTTTCTGGCGCACCCGGGAAACTGGGCTCGGCAAATGGTGCCGCCTCTCCTTGGTCAACTTTATCGGGAGGTTGGGGCCGTGACCAATCCCAAATATCGTCTTCTTCCGAATCACCACCATCTCGTGGAATTGAGCTGGGGGCACCTGGATGTTGTGGCTCAGCTGTGGGGACAGTTCCAGGGCCAACCACATCTTCCTTTGGCATGTTGCGTGACCAGTCCCAACCGGGAGCTTCAGGATGTTCACCTGGGCCAGCTTGCCGGGGCAAAGTATCTGGGCTTCCTGGGCCTGATGGTTCAACCATTGGGGCCGACTCTGGGCCACCCACCTGCTCAGGTGGCTGAGACCTTGACCAGTCCACACCAGGGCCATCTTCATCTTCTGGAGAACCATCCCGTGGAAGACTGCTTGGGGCTCCAGGCTGTGATGGCTCAGAGAACGGGGTGGTTCCAGGGACCGGAACCTGCTCTCTAGGTTGGTTGCGTGACCAATCCCATCCTGGAGCATCTTCACTTGGAACGGATCCTTCCCGTGGGAGACTGTCCGGGCTGCCTGGGATTCCTGGGCCATCAAACGGGCCACCTCCTTCTGGAGCGGTGACCTCATCCCTTGGGATATTCCTTGACCAATCCCAGCCTGGTGTCTCTGGGTGTTCGCCGCTTCCGTCTCTTGGCAAAGAACTGGGGCCAGCTGGTCCAACCGGACCTTCAGGGCTAACTGGTTCTGGACCGTCTGCTCCCTCTGGAGGTTGCCCCCTACTCCAGTCAACGCCTGGTCCATCTGGTTCAACTGTGCTTCCGTCCCGTGGAATGGACCCAGGTCCACCCAGACCAGGCCCATCAAAAGGACCAACTGGAGCAAGACCACCAAGTTTCTCTCTGGGGACATTCCTTGACCAATCCCAACCGGAATCAGGCTCATCTTCGCCAGATGGTTGGCGTGGTCTCGAATCTGGTCCTCCAGGTCCTGCTGGTTCACTCATTGGAACTGGCTCAGGGCCTTCAACCTTGTCCCGGGGTCTGGGTCTGGACCAGTCAACACCAGGTCCATCTTCATCTTCTGGAGAACCATCCCGTGGAAGACTGCTTGGTGCTCCAGGTTGTGATGGCTCAGAGAATGGGGTAGTTCCAGGAACTGAAAGCAGCTCTCTAGGTTGGTTGCGCGACCAATCCCATCCAGGGGCATCTGGGTGGCTGCCAACTCCATCGCGTGGAGGTGACTCAGGACCACCAGGCATACCAGGACCATCAAATGGGCCTCCAGCTTCCGGTCCAGGAACTTGTTCCCCTGGAGCTCCACGTGCCCAGTCAGCACCAGGTTCTTCAGGCTGGTCAATGCCTTCACGAGGAAGGCTATCAGGCCCACCTGGGACTCCGGGACCATCGAACGGGCCCCCAGCTTCAGGAGGAGAGACCCCATCCCTTGGAACGTTCCTTGACCAATCCCATCTGGGCTCTTCTTCTGGTCCAGGCTCTCCAGCTCTGGGTAAAGACTTTGGACCACCAGGTTCACCGGGCTCTCCAGAAACTTCAGAATCAGGGACTTGCAAGGCATCCGTTGGTACATCACGAGACCAGTCCCACCCTGGCACATCTGGATGCTGACTCGTGCCCTCCCTGCGGATAGAGCCAGGACCTCCAAGGCCAGGGCCATCAAAAGGCCCAATTGGAGTCAATCCTCCGGCGTCCTCTCTTGGCTGGTTGCGAGACCAATCCCAGCCTGAGTCAGGCTCATCTTCACCAGATGGTTGGCGTGGTCTCGAATCCGGTCCTCCAGGTCCTGCTGGTTCACTCATTGGAACTGGCTCAGGGCCTTCAACCTTGTCCGGGGGTCTGGGTCTGGACCAGTCAACACCAGGTCCATCTTCATCTCCTGGGGAACCATCCCTTGGAAGGCTGCTTGGTGCTCCTGGTTGAGCAGGCTCTTTCCTTGGAAGCATGTCTGGGCCAGGGAGCTGCTCTTTGGGTTTTCCTCTGGACCAATCCCACCCAGGTGCTTCTGGGTGCTCACCAGGTTTGGGCATCTTGCTTGGTCCACCTGGGATGCCAGGTCCATCAAAGGGGCCAGTTGGCTCAGGGCCCGGCACTTGATCTCCTGGGGCACCCCGTGCCCAGTCAGCACCGGGTTCATCCGGCTGGTCAGTGCCTTCCTTGGGTCCTTTGCCAGGACCACCAGGGATACCGGGACCTTCAAAGGGACCACCAGCTTCTGGTCCAGGAACTTGTTCCTTTGGCGGTCCACGTGCCCAGTCTGCACTGGGTTCTTCTTGTTGGTCAGTGCCTTCACGGGGTACTTGCCCTGGTCCGCCTGGTGCTTCCGGGCCGCCATATGGCTGTGTATCAGGAGTTGGCATTTGTGTTGGTGGGACTGCACGAGCCCAATCTGGGCCAGGTTCTTCTGTTGATTTGGGGGTTCCATCTCTTGGTTGCTGCTCTGGCCCTCCTGGGATGCCAGGACCATCAAAGGGTCCACCTGCCTCGGGTCCAGGAACTTGTTCCTTTGGAGGTCCACGTGCCCAGTCTGCACCAGGTTCATCAGGCTGGTCGATGCCTTCTCTTGGTGTTTGCCCTGGGCCACCTGGGATGCCTGGGCCATCAAAGGGCCCACCTGCCTCGGGTCCAGGAACTGCTTCCTTTGGAGGTCCGCGTGCCCAGTCAGCGCTAGGTTCATCAGGCTGGTCGATGCCTTCTCTTGGTGTCTGTGTTGGTCCACCAGGAGTTTCAGGTCCGCCATATGGCTGCGTATCAGGGGAAGCGACATCCTCCCTTGGCATGTTCCTTGTCCAGTCCCAGCCAGGTGCTCCTAGATCTTCAGCAGATAAATTACGAGGGATAGTTTCGGGCCCTCCTGGGATTCCTGGACCATCAAATGGACCACTAGGTTCAGGTCCAGGGACCTCGTCTGTTGGTGGTCCTCGTTTCCAGTCCGCGCCAGGTTCTTCTGGCTGGTCAATGCCCTCTGTGGGTGCTTGGCCCGGCCCACCAGGGATTCCTGGACCATCAAATGGACCACTAGGTTCCGGTCCAGGTACATCATCTGTTGGTGGTCCTCGCTTCCAGTCGGCACCAGGTTCTTCTGGCTGGTCAAGGCCCTCTGTGGGTGCTTGGCCCGGTCCACCAGGGATTCCTGGACCATCAAATGGACCACCAGATTCAGGGCCAGGCACATCATCTGCCGGTGGTCCTCGTTTCCAATCAGCACCAGGCTCTTCTGGTTGGTCAATGCCTTCACGAGGCACTTGGCCTGGACCACCAGGAATTCCAGGTCCATCCATGGGACCACCAGGCTGTGGCCCCGTGACTTGGTCTCTGGGGACATTCCTTGACCAATCCCAGCCAGGCGCAAGAGGGTGCTCCCCTGTTCCATCTCTGGGAACCTGCTGTGGTCCACCAGGGGATTCAGGTCCCCCATATGGCTGAGTATCAGGGAAAGGAACATCCTCTCTGGGTACATTCCTTGTCCAATCCGAAGGAGGGGCATCTGGGAGGTGCTCTGTGGTATCACGTGGTCTAGAACCAGGACCTCCAAGGCCAGGGCCATCAAAAGGCCCAATTGGAGTCAATCCTCCGGCGTCCTCTCTTGGCTGGTTGCGAGACCAATCCCAGCCTGAGTCAGGCTCATCTTCACCAGATGGTTGGCGTGGTCTCGAATCCGGTCCTCCAGGTCCTGCTGGTTCACTCATTGGAACTGGCTCAGGGCCTTCAACCTTGTCCGGGGGTCTGGGTCTGGACCAGTCAACACCAGGTCCATCTTCATCTCCTGGGGAACCATCCCTTGGAAGGCTGCTTGGTGCTCCTGTTGAGCAGGCTCTTTCCTTGGAAGCATGTCTGGGCCAGGCAGCTGCTCTTTAGGTTGTCCTCTGGACCAATCCCACCCAGGTGCTTCTGGGTGCTCACCAGGTTTGGGCATCTTGCTTGGTCCACCTGGGATGCCAGGTCCATCAAAGGGGCCAGTTGGCTCAGGGCCCGGCACTTGATCTCCTGGGGCACCCCGTGCCCAGTCAGCACCGGGTTCATCTGGCTGGTCAGTGCCCTCACGGGGTACCTGACCAGGACCACCAGGGATACCAGGACCTTCAAACGGACCGCCAGCTTCTGGTCCAGGAACTTGTTCCTTTGGAGGTCCACGTGCCCAGTCTGCACCAGGTTCTTCTGGCTGGTCGATGCCTTCACGAGGCACTTGGCCTGGTCCACCAGGAATGCCTGGGCCATCCAAGGGGCCAACATGCTCTGGACCTGGGACTTGTTCTCCTGGTGCCCCCCTCGACCAATCTGCACCAGGTTCATCTGGCTGATCAGTTCCTTCCCGAGGTGCTTTTTCCGGGCCTCCTGGGATTCCAGGACCATCAAATGGCCCTGCAGGCTCAGGTCCAGGAACAGGGCCTGGCGGAAGAGCACGAGCCCAGTCTGGTCCTGGTTCGTCAGTTGGCTTTGAGGTGCCGTCCCGTGGTGCAGTAGCAGGACCACCAGTGCCTGGCACATCAGGTGTGCTGGTTGACTGCGGCAACGAGAGGCTTTCTCGTGGCTGGTTTCTATTCCAATCCCATCCAGGTGAACCTTGGTCTGTTGGCTTGCCATCACGGGGCTTGGAGTCTGGACCACCAGGGTGTTCTGGTCCCGAGAAAGGAGTTACTGATCCTTCATCAAGTGGCCCATCAATGGGCTTGTTGCGTGTCCAGTCCCATCCCGGGGCATCAGGATGTTGCCCTTGGGTGTTTTCATGTGGACCCTTGCCCGGTATACCTGGGCCATCGAAGGGGCCTAATGGCTTTGGACCTTTCAGCTCCTCTCGTGGCAAATTCCTCGACCAGTCCCAATTTGGAGAATCAGGTTTTCCAGGCTCCTCTTCAGTGGGGGAGGCCTGCCCTGGTAAACCGGGGCCATCATGTGGTTGCACTGGTGTGGGCCCACCAACTCCCTCCCTCGGTTTGTTTCTGTTCCAGTCCCAACCGGAAATGTCTGTATCCGTTGGTTCCCCTTCGCGAGGCATGGAAGATGGACCACTTGGGGCCCCAGGACCATCAAAAGGACCAGAATCCGGTCCTGGCAACGTTTCACGGGGCTTGCCACGAGCCCAGTCCCAACCAGGGGATTCATCACTTGGAAGGCCATCCCGTGGGACTTCATCAGGTCCTCCAGGGTGGCCAGGACCATCGAACGGACTCGCAGGGCCTGGTCCATCAACTCCATCACGTGGTTTGCCACGATACCAATCCCATCCAGATATGTCAGGTTGATCCATGCCTTCACGAGGAGCTTGCCCTGGACCACCTGGAACTCCAGGACCACCCAAGGGACCACCAGGCTCAGGGCCTGGAACTTGATCCCTTGGTATGCTGCGTGCCCAGTCCCAGCCAGGAGAATCCGGTTCCCTGGTTGTTGCATCCCTCGGTGACGATCCAGGCTGTCCTGGCAGGTCAACCCCCCCAAATGGGGGTCCTTCAGGGACCTCAAGGTTTTCCTTTGGAACATTGCGGTTCCAATCCCATCCTGGATACTCTGGGCGACCTGCCTCATCGTGTGGCCCGCCAGGCAATGGAGGACCTGGCAGGTTTTCTTTGGACACATCAGGGATATCATCTTCGTCAATGCCTGTTCCCTTGTTTCGAAGCCAATTCATCATATTTGCAGCATCATTCGTGTCAATTGGTTGTGCTCCTTCTGGAAGTGGCACACCTGGAATGTTGCTCCTTGGAATGTCTGAGACATCTTCACCTTCACCACCAGGGCCCTTGTTTCGGAGCCAGTCAAGAGCTTCCTCTGCTGCTTTTTTCTTCTTGTCAGCATCTGGTGGAGACCGTGCTAATGGTACACCTGCAAGATTGGCAAGTGCCTCAACAGTTGGTTCGTCTGCACCCTCCACATCAGGCTTGTTCTTTCGAAGCCAGTCTATGGTCTCATCCAGTGTCTTTTGTTTTTCTTCTGGTGGAATCTCGCCACGGGGGAGTGGCAAACCAGTGAGATTGCTCAGTGCTTGCAGCGCTGGCTCTTCGACATCTTCCGGTGGTGGGTTGTTTCTCAGCCAGTCTACGACATCATCAACAATTTGTTTCTTCTCATTTGGAGTCGGCTTCTCTGGGGACTCAATTCCAGCAAGATTCCTCAGCTCCTCGAGAGCAGGTTCATCCACATCCTGCAGATTTGGGTTGTTGTTCCTGAGCCAGTCCACCGCATCTTCGACAGCCTTCGTCTTCTCTGTTGGTGGGATTCGTCCTTCAGGAACAGGGACCCCAGCCAAGTTTGCGAGAGCTTCCAATGTTGGCTGGTCGACATCTTCAGGATATGGGTTGTTTTGCCTTAACCAATCAATCGCATCTTCAATAATTTCTCTCTTCTCTTCTGGTGGGATTTGCTTTCTTGGAGGAGGCTTCCCGGAGAGTTCAGTGAGGGCATCCAGTGTGGGTTGATCCAGATCCTCTGGATTTGGTTGGTTTTTCCTCAGCCAGTCAACAACCTCATCATTAACTTTTTTCTTCTCCTCTGGTCCCAATTTACCAGGTGGTAAAGGCACTCCAGTCAGATTTGCCAGTGCTTGCAGTGTCGGTTCATCTAGGTCTTCTGGGTTTGGCTTGTTCTTGCGCAGCCAATCCACTGTGTCATCGAGAGTACTTTTGGCTGGAGTTCGTTGCATTCCGGCGGGCAAAGGCACACCCGCTAATTCAGTAACTTTCTCAACTGTAGGGTTGTCCACGTCACTAATGTCAGGGTTATTCCTGCGCAACCAATCAATGTTGTCTTCCACATGTTTCTTCTTATCTCCAGGGCTTCTCTTCTTGGGTAGAGGCAAACCTGTTAGGTTCGAAAGAGCTTCCAGAGTGGGTTCATCAATATCATCAAGAGGAGGGTTATTCTTTCTCAACCAGTCCACCGCATCTTGAACAGCTTTCTGCTTTGCTTCCTTTGAAACTGGCATGGTCATGCTTGCCGCATCAACAACTTTCTCAATGGTGGGTTCATCAAGGTTTTCAACGTCTGGATTGTTGTTCCTCAGCCAATCCACACATTCATCGACGTGCTTCTTTCTATCCCGGGGAGTCATATTCTTGGGTAATGGCAAGCCAGTCAAGTCTGAGAATGCTTCACAGGTTGGTTCATCAAGTTTCTCTGGTGATGGTCCATTCGTTCTGAGCCAGTCGATGGCATCTTCCAGGACTTGCTTGGTTTCATCTGAAGGTCCACCAGCAAAAGGCTTGTCCGTGAGATTCACGATCTTCTCAATCTGGGGCTCATCCAACCTGTCGGTATTGGGATTATTCCTTCGAAGCCAGTCAACAGAATCCTCAACGAATTTTTTCTTATCCTTGGGTGTTTTCCTTTTGGGCAACGGAACACCTGTCAAATTTGCGAGTGCGTCAATCGTTGGGTTGTCTATTGACTCTGGCCTCGGGTTATTCTTCCTCAACCAGTCGATGGCATCATCAAGCGCCTCACCCTTGGCATCCCTTGGAATTGATCCAGGAGGCAAGGGAATGTTTGCCAGCTTGGCCATTTTTCCAACATCGTCATGAGTCAAATCATCAACCTTGGGTTCATTCTTTCGCATCCACTCAACACAGTCATCAACGAACTTCTTCCTTTCTGATGGGGTCTTCTTCTTTGGTATTGGCAGGCCTGTCACATTTGAAAATGCCTCCATTGTTGGCTCATCCAGATTCCTTGGCTCTGGTTCATTCTTCCTTAGCCACTCTACCGTATCGTCAACAATTTGCTTCTTCGTCTTCCTTGACATTGGCATGGGCACTCCAGCTAGTTTTGTCACCCCCTTCGCGGTTGGATTATCAATTTTCGATAAATCTGGATTGTTCCTTCTTAGCCAATCAATAGAATCCTCCATGAACTCCTTCTTCTCCTTTGGAGTTTTCTTCTTGGGCAGTGGCAAACCAGTCAAGTTGGAGAATGCTTCAACGGTGGGCTCATCCACATTCTCCAGCGGAGGTTCATTCTTTCTCAACCAATCAATAGCATCTTCCACTGCCTTTTTGGTAGGATTTCGTTGCGGACCTCGAGGGCTGCCAGGTCCATGAAGGTTTTGGAGTGCCTCAGTTGTGGGGTTGTCTAGGTTGTCTAGGTCAGGGTTGTTGTTTCTGATCCAGTCAACGACATCATCAACAAACGTTTTCTTTTCAACCGGGGTCATCTTCTTCGGCATAGGCAATCCAGTCAATTTTGATAATGCTTCCATTGTTGGTTCATCAATCTCATCTGGGTTAGGCTTGTTGCTTCTGAGCCAGTCAACAGCATCCTCGGCAGTTTTCTTCCTCGCATCCCTTGGCATTACCGAAGGTGACAGCGGAATTCCAGCCAGATTCGCCACCCTCTCCACGGTTGGATAGTCAAGATGCTTATCAACATCAGGATTGTTTCTTCTAACCCAGTCCACTGCATCTTCTACAAACTTCTTCTTTTCATCCGGAGTCCTTTTCTTAGGTAAGGGCATGCCACTAAGATTTGACAATGCCTCCATGGTTGGCTCATCGACGTCCTCAGGGTTGGGTTCATTGTGCCTCATCCAGTCTATGGCATCTTCCATGGGTTTCTTGCGTGATTGTCTTGGCAACGCCCCAGGCGATGAGATTGGAACACCTGCCAGCCTTGAAATATTCTTCCAGCTGTTGGCTCATTTCTAGGTTGCTTGTGTCTGGATTGTGCGACCGCAACCAGTCAATTGAGTCTTCCACCAACTTCTTCTTTTCATCAGGAGTGAGCTTCTTAGGAATGGGCATACCCGTCAAATTAGACAGAGCTCCGAGGGCTGGTTCATCAACTTCCTCTGGTATTGGACCATTTTTCCTTAGCCAGTCCACTGCATCTTCAACAGCCTTCGTTGGTTCATCATCTGCCAATGTCCCAGGGGGCAATCTCACATTGGCCACATTTGTCACTCTAGCCACAGTTGGACTGTCAAGATTCTTCTCGATATCTGGATTGTTTCTGCGGATCCAATCAACTGCATCTTCCATGAATTTCTTCTTTGATTCTGGGGTCATCCTCCTGGGAACTGGCAAGCCAGTAAGGTTCGAAAAGGCTTCAACAGTAGGTTCATCGACTTTCTCAAGGTTGGGGTTATTCTTGCGGATCCAGTCAATCGAATCTTCCATGGCTTTCATTTTAACAGTGTGTGGCCCACCTTGGGGTACAGGACCCTGTGGAATATTCATCAAGGAGTCCAGTGATGGCTCATCAACCTTTGACAGGTCAGGTTTGTTGCTCCTCAACCAATCCACAGAATCCTCAACCACTCGCTTTTTCTCTTTTGGTGTCATCTTCTTTGGCATTGGAACCCCTGTCAAGTTCGAAAGAGCCTCCACTTCAGGCTCACTCAAATCATCTTTTGGTGGGCCATTCTTCCTGAGCCAATCAACAACATCATCAACTGCCGCCTTCTTGGTTTCTCTGGGGACAACTCCTGGAGGCAGTGGTGCTCCAGGTATCTGAACAACATTGTCAAGTTCAGGTTCATTCAGCTTTGAAAAATCGGGTTCATTCTTTCGTACCCAGTCTACTGTATCCTCCACAAACTTCTTTTTCTCATTGGGAGTCATCTTCTTGGGCAAAGGCACTCCTGTTAGGTTAGACAATGCCTCAGCAATTGGCACATCAAGATCTTCTGGTTTAGGCTCGTTCTTTCTCAGCCAGTCAACAACATCCTGGACAGCCTTTTTCTTGGCCTCTCGTGGGAGGACTGGCAATGAAGGTGCCCCTGGAATCTGCATAAGGCTATCCAATGTGGGCTCATCAAGCTTGGAGAGATCTGGTTCATTCTTCCTCATCCAGTCAACGCTATCTTCAACATATTTCTTCTTCTCATTTGGTGTCATCTTCTTGGGCACAGGAATGCCAGTGAGGTTTGATAGTGCGACAATGGTTGGTTCTTCAACCTCATCCTTTGGAGGACCATTCTTCCGAAGCCAATCCACAACATCTTCCACTGCAGCTTTCTTGTCTTCTCTGGCCACGACTCCAGGCGGCAGGGGTGCTCCAGGGACCTGCATAGCACTTTCAAGAGTTGGTTCATCCATCTCAGAGAGATTGGGCTCATTCTTGCGTAACCAATCAACTGTGTCCTCGGTGAACTTCTTTTTCTCCTTTGGTGTCATTCTGCTTGGAAGCGGCACTCCGGTTACATTGGACAGCCCTTGCAACACAGGCTCGTCCACTCCTCACGAGGTGGACCATTCTTCCTGAGCCAGTCAACCACATCAGCACACCCTTCTTCTTTGTTTCTCGGCACTACTCCAGGGGGCAACGGTGCACCTGGTACATGCATCAGACTGTCAAGATGGGGCTCATCCATTTCGGCAACATCAGGTTTGTTCTTTCTCTTCTTGTCCTTGGGGGTCTTCTTCTTTGGTAGTGGAACACCTGTCAGGTCGGAAAGAGCTTCAATGATGGGTTCATCCACATCGTCAGAGGGTGGCCCGTTCTTCCTCAGCCAATCCACAACATCTTCTGCTGCCTTCACTTTGGCGTCTTTGGGTAGAACAGGTGAGGGCACCGGACCACCAGGTAATTCTAGCATGCTGTCCATTGTAGGTTCATCCAGTTTTGATAGATCGGGCTCATTCTTCCGCAACCAATCTACCGTGTCCTCCACAAACCTCCCCTTCTCCTCTGGAGACAACTTCTTTGGGAGGGGCACACCTGTGAGATTTGACAGGGCCCCGACAATTGGTGTATCTAGATCTTCGGAAGGTGGTCCATTCTGCCTCAACCAGTCAATAACATCTCCAACAGCCTTTTTCTTCTTTTCTCTGGGGACCACTCCTCGTGGCACAGGAGCACCGGGAACCTGTAGCAATGTATCAAGTGTAGGCTCGTCAAGTTCAGAAAGATTGGGCTTGTTCTTTCTTAACCAATCCACAGCATCCTCTGAAAACTTCTTTGTCTTCTCTGGTGTGAAGTTAGGCAAGGGTACACCTGTAAGCTGAGAGAGTGCATCAGCAACAGGTTGTTCCAGCTCTGAAGGAGGCCCATTCTTCCGCAACCAATCCACAACATCCTCAACTTGTTTCTTCTTGACATCTCTTGGAGTAACACCTGGGGGCATTGGTGCACCTGGGACTTGCATGATACTATCAAGGGTAGGTCCATCCAGTTCGGAGAGGTCTGGTTCATTGGATCGCAACCAATCTATTGTGTCTTCAACTGCCTGTTTCTTGTCTTCCGGAGATGTCCGCTTTGGCATCGGCATCCCTGTCACATTTGAAAGAGCTTCGACAACAGGCTCATCAAGTTCCTCCTTTGGGGGGCCATTCTTCCGGAGCCAGTCCACGACATCCTCAGCAGCTCTTGTTTTCACCTGTCGAGGCGAAGCACCGGGGGGCAATGGTGCACCCGGGACCTTCAAGAGATTTTCCAAAGTGGGTTCATCCATTTCAGAAATTTCTGGCTCATTCTTGCGTATCCAGTCTACTGAATCTTCAACAAATTTCCTCTTTTCCTCTGGTGTAATCTTTTGAGGAAGTGTTACACCTACAAGATTGGACAGAGCCTCCAATGTTGGTTCATCAGGGATTTCAGAAGGCGGACCATTCTTTCGCAGCCAGTCAATTGTATCTGCGACTGCCTTCTTCTTTGTTTCCCTTGGGACGATTCCTGGGGTCTTGGGGGCACCTGGAATCTGCAAAACACCATCAAGAGTTGGTTCATCCAATTCAGAAAGATCTGGTTCATTCTTCCGCAACCAATCAATTGTGTCTTCCAGAACTCTCTGCTTTTCCTTTGGTGTTTTCTTCCTTGGCATTGGAACGCCTGTCATGTTCGACAGAGCCTTCAGGGTGGGTTCATCAACTTCATCTCTTGGTGGGCCATTCCTTCTCAGCCAATCAACAACGTCTTCCACACCCTTCTTCTTTGTGTCTCTGGGAATAACTCCCGCTGGCATTGGGGCACCAGGAACCTGCATCAAAGTGTCAAGAGTGGGTTCATCAACCTCGGATAAATTGGGCTCATTTTTGCGCAACCAGTCCACCACATCATCCACAACCTTCTTCTTTTCACTTGGTGTCGCTTTCTTTGGAAGCGGCACACCCGCAAGCTTTGCTAGAGCCTCAACAACTGGAGTGTCAATATCCTCTTGGGGTGGTCCATTCTTCCTTAGCCAGTCCACCACATCTTCACCAATCTCAACCTCCCTTCTTCTTATCTCGCGGGGACAACTCCAGAGGCATGGGCACCGGAACTTGCATCAAACTGTCAAGAGTGGGCTCATCCAGCGAGGACAAATCAGGACTGCCCTTGCGTAACCAATCAACTGTGTCTTCCACGAACTTCCTTTTATCCTGTGGTGTCTTTCTTTTGGCATAGGCACACCTGTACAGCCTGGAGAGCGTTCAGTGAGGTTCATCCAGATCACCTCTGGACCCCCATTCTTGCGGACCAATCAATAACATCCAACTACCTTCTTCTTTGTCTCACGAGGAACAACTCCAGGGGCTTTTGGTGCACCAGGTATGTTGAGCAGGCTGTCCAATGTAGGTTCATCAAGTTTGGACGTGTCCGGTTCATTTTTGCGAAGCCATTCCACGGTGTCATCTGTGAACTTTCTCTGGATGGTCTGCTTCGTGGGCAATGGAACACCTGTCACTCAGAGAGGGCATCAAGAATAGGTTCGTCAAGATCATCTGATGGAAGGCCGTTCTTCCTTAGCCAATCAACAACATCATCAACACCCTCCTTCTTTGTTCCGGGGTACAAACCAGTGGGTTGGAGCACCTGGAACCTGCATGAGACTGTCAAGCGTTGTGTCATCGAGACCAGACGCATCAGGTTCATTATTGCGCAGCCATCATGTGCTCCTCATGAACTTCTTTTTGTCTTTGGTGCCTCCTTTTGGTAATGGAACACCTGTCAACTCGACAGGCATCAACAATGGGTTCTCTAGATCTTCCAGGTGGTCCATTCTTCTGAGCCAGTCCACACATCATCAACACCCTTCCTCTTTGTGTCTCGGGAACACAGCGGGTGGTGCGGAGCACTGAACCTGCAACAAGCTGTCAAGAGTAGGCTCATCAGTTTGGTAAGATCGGGTGCCCTGACGTAGCCAATCCACTGCATCATCCATGAACTTCTTCTTGGTTTGAGGGGTCATCCTCTTGGGCATCGGAACACCAGTCAAATCTGAGATTGCTTCAAGGGTGGGTTCATCAGGAAGCTCCTCAGGGGGGCATTCTCCTGAGCCAGTCCACCACATCTTTGACACCTTTTCTTTGTTTCCGAGGAACAACTCCTGAAGGCATAGGAGCTCCTGGTACTTGGAGAAGGCTGTCAAGTGTAGGCTCATCAAGTTTTGAGGTATCAGGTTCATTCTTGCGTAGCCAATCAACTGTGTCCTCAATGAACTTCTTCTTTTCTTTCGGAGTCTTCCTTTTCGGCATTGGAACACCAGTGAGATTGGACAGTGCTTGAAGAGTGGGTTCATCCACTTCATGTTCAGGCGATCCATTATCTCTAGGTACCTCCTCTGGAGGCCCATTCTTCCTCAGCCAGTCCACAACATCATCAACACCCCTTTTCTTCACATCACGAGGCACCACTCCAGAAGGCATTGGGGCACCTGGCACCTGCAAAAGACTATCAAGAGTAGGTTCATCAAGCTTGGATGTATCCGGTTCATTCTTGCGCAGCCAGTCAACAGTGTCCTCCATGAAATTCTTCTTTTCTTTTGGTGTCTTCCTTTTTGGGATGGGAACACCAGTCAAATCTGAGAGGGCTTCAAGAGTGGGTTCATCAGGAGCATCCTCTGGAGGACCATTCTTCCTGAGCCAGTCCACAACATCATCAACACCTTTCTTCTTTGTATCCCGAGGTACTACCCCTGAAGGCATTGGAGCTCCTGGCACCTGCATGATACTGTCCAGAGTTGGTTCGTCGAGCCTGGACAAACCAGGGCCTCCTTGGCGCACCCAGTCAACCACATCCTTTACAAATTTCTTTTTATCTTCAGGTGTCCTGCTTTTAGGCATTGGAACACCCGATACATCAGAGAGTGCATCAAGGGTAGGTTCATCTGGTAAGTCCTCTGGGGGACCATTCTTCCTGAGCCAATCAATAACATCCTTTACGAACTCCTTCTTCTTGTCCCGTGGCATGACCCCGGGGGGCATTGGCGCACCAGGAACCTGCAACAGACTGTCCAGAGTGGGCTCATCAAGTTTGGAGGTATTTGGCGAATTTTTTCTGAGCCAGTCTACCGTGTCCTCCATGAACTTCTTCTTATCTTTGGGTGTCTTCTTTTTTGGCACAGGAACACCCGTCAAATCTGAGAGGGCTTCAAGTGTGGGTTCATCGGGAACGTCCTCTGGAGGGCCATTCTTCCTGAGCCAGTCAACAACATCATCAACACCTTTCTTTTTCGAATCTCGAGGTACAACTCCTGAAGGCATTGGTGCTCCTGGGACCTGCATTATACTGTCCAGAGTTGGTTCATCAAGTCCAGAGACATCAGGTTCATTCTTGCGCAACCAATCAACAATCTCGTCCATGAACTTCTTCTTTGTGTGAGGGGTCTTCTTCTTGGGCATGGGGACACCTGTCAAGTCCGAGAGAGCTTCAAGGGTGGGCTCGTCTGGAACATCCTCTGGCGGACCATTCTTCCTAAGCCAGTCCACAACATCATCAACACCCTTCTTCTTTGTATCCCGAGGAACAACTGCAGCCAGTGTTGGGGCCCCTGGCACCTGCAGAAGACTTTCAAGTGCAGGTTCATCAAGCTTGGACGTATCTGGTGTGTTCTTTCGGAGCCAGTCAACGGAATCCTCAACAAACTTCTTCTTATCCTCTGGAGTTGCCCTTTTTGGGAGGGGGACACCTGTGACATTGGAAAGAGCTTCCAGAGATGGTTCCTCCAGATCACCTGATGGGGGGCCATTTGTGCGAAGCCAATCAACAACATCCTGAGCTGCTACTTCTTTCGTCTTCCGCGGCAGGGCTTCCGGTGGCAACGGAGCCCCAGGCATTTGCATCAGTCGATCAAGTGATGGCTCATCCAATTTGGACACATCAGGCTTCCCCTTTCGTATCCAGTCCACTGCATCGTCAACAAACTTCTGCCTCTCAGCAGGAGTTGTCTTCTTGGGCAAGGGCACTCCAGTAAGGTTTGCTAGAGCTTCCACAACAGGTTCATCCAGATCTGTTGGTGGTGGACCGTTTTTCCTGAGCCAGTCCATGACATCTTCCACAGCCTTCTTCTTTTCATCCCTGGGAAGAACACCGGGAGGCACCGGCGCACCTGGCAATTGCAATAGGCCGTCAAGTGTTGGTTCATCCAGCTCTGAGACTTCAGGTTTATTCTTTCGAAGCCATTCGACATTGTCATCAACAAATCTCCTCTTTTCATCTGGCGTCTTCCTCTTAGGCATGGGTATGCCAGTAAGATTGGATAATGCTTCAAGTGCTGGTTTGTCTAATTCTTCACCAGGAGTTCCATTCTTCCTTAGCCAATCAACTACATCTTCTACAGCTTTCTTCTTGCTCTCTTTTGATGGAGTAGACGGAAGGTTTGGCGAGCCTGGAATTTGCAGCATTGCATCCAGTGATGGCTCGTCAAGATTTGCAACATCTGGCTCATTCTTGCGCAACCAATCTACAGAGTCCTCAACCACTCTCTTTTTCTCTTTTGGTGTCATCTTCTTTGGCATTGGAACCCCTGTCAAGTTCGCAAGAGCCTCCACTTCAGGCTCACTCAGATCATCTTTTGGTGGGCCATTCTTCCTGAGCCAATCAACAACATCATCAACTGCCGCCTTCTTGGTTTCTCTGGGGACAACTCCTGGAGGCAACGGAGCACCCGGCACTTGCAGGAGATTATCAAGAGTAGGTTCATCCAAATCTTCAACGTCTGGTTCATTCTTTCGTACCCAGTCTACTGTATCCTCCACAAACTTCTTTTTCTCATTGGGAGTCATCTTCTTGGGCAAAGGCACTCCTGTTAGGTTAGACAATGCCTCAGCAATTGGCACATCAAGATCTTCTGGTTTAGGCTCATTCTTTCTCAGCCAGTCAACAACATCCTGGACAGCCTTTTTCTTGGCCTCTCGTGGGAGGACTGGCAATGAAGGTGCCCCTGGAATCTGCATAAGGCTATCCAATGTGGGCTCATCAAGCTTGGAGAGATCTGGTTCATTCTTCCTCATCCAGTCAACGCTATCTTCAACATATTTCTTCTTCTCATTTGGTGTCATCTTCTTGGGCACAGGAATGCCAGTGAGGTTTGATAGTGCGTCAATGGTTGGTTCTTCAACCTCATCCTTTGGAGGACCATTCTTCCGAAGCCAATCCACAACATCTTCCACTGCAGCTTTCTTGTCTTCTCTGGCCACGACTCCAGGCGGCAGGGGTGCTCCAGGGACCTGCATAGCACTTTCAAGAGTTGGTTCATCCATCTCAGAGAGATTGGGCTCATTCTTGCGTAACCAATCAACTGTGTCCTCGGTGAACTTCTTTTTCTCCTTTGGTGTCATTCTGCTTGGAAGCGGCACTCCGGTTACATTGGACAGCCCTTGCAACACAGGCTCGTCCAGCTCCTCACGAGGTGGACCATTCTTCCTGAGCCAGTCAACCACATCAGCAACACCCTTCTTCTTTGTTTCTCTGGGCACTACTCCAGGGGGCAACGGTGCACCTGGTACATGCATCAGACTGTCAAGATGGGGCTCATCCATTTCGGCAACATCAGGTTTGTTCTTTCGCAGCCAGTCTATGGTATCCTCCATGAACTTCTTCTTGTCCTTGGGGGTCTTCTTCTTTGGTAGTGGAACACCTGTCAGGTCGGAAAGAGCTTCAATGATGGGTTCATCCACATCGTCAGACGGTGGCCCGTTCTTCCTCAGCCAATCCACAACATCTTCTGCTGCCTTCACTTTGGCGTCTTTGGGTAGAACAGGTGAGGGCAATGGCTTAGTTGGTACATCAGTGAGAATGTCCAGTGTAGGTTCATCCAATTTTGATATATCAGGCTCATTCTTCCGCAGCCAATCAACTGTGTCTTGCTTATACTTCTTCTTCTCCTCTGGTGTCATTCTCTCTGGCAAGGGCAAATCTGTGAGCTTAGAGAAAGCTTCAAGTGTTGGCATGTCGGTATCGTCCATCGGAGGCCCATTCTTTCTCAGCCAATCCACGACATCTTCTACTTGCTTCTTCTTTGCATCCCTTGGCACGATGCCTCGTGGTAGTTCCGCTCCAGGCACCTGCATGAGACTATCAAGAGTTGGGCCATCAAGTTTTGAGAGGTCTGGTTTGTTCTTTCGTATCCAATCCACAGATTCCTCAACAAACTTTTTCTTGTCTGACGGGTTCATTTGACCTGGGAGGGGGATTCCTGATACATTTGACAGGGTCTCCAAAATTGGTTCATCAACTTGCTCAGCAGAAGGAGGATTTGTTCTCATCCAGTCAAGAATGTCTTCAACTGCCTTCTTCTTGGTGTCTCTTGGAGTTACTCCAGCAGGTAAGGTTGCTCCTGGTACTTGCATAATTGCCTCAAGTGTTGGTTCTTCCAACACAGATAGATCAGGCTCATTCTTACGCAACCAATCTACTGTGTCCTCCATGAATTTCTTCTTTTCCTTGGGTGTTTTCTTTTTTGGCATTGGAATGCCAGTCAGATCTGAAAGCGCCTCAAGAATGGGCTCATCGGGTACCTGCTCTGGAGGACCATTCTTTCGCAACCAATCAACAACATCATCAGCAGCATCCTTCTTAACGTCCCTGGGGAGAATTTGAGGTGGCAACGGTGCACCTGGAATGTGGATCAGTCCATCCAAGGTTGGCTCATCAAAATTGGATGTGCTGGGTTCATTCTTGCGTAGCCAGTCTACCGAATCCTCCATGAACCTCTTTTTATCCTTAGGACTTCTCCTCTTCGGAATCGGGACCCCAGTAACATTGGAAAGTGCTTCAATAGAGGGTTCATCTATGACATCTGAAGGGGGGCCATTCTTTCTTAACCAGTCAATGACATCATTTGCAACATTCTGTTTCATAGTCTTGGGAACAGTTCCTTCCGGCAGTAGAGACTGTGGAACCTTCATAATTTGCTCTAATGTTGGTTCGTCAATGTCTCCAAGGTCTGGCTTATTTTTCCTCACCCAGTCGACTGCATCTTCAACGAACTTTTGCTTTTCAGCTGGAATCATTGACTTTTTCACAGGGACACCTGCAAGATTGGCAAGTGCCTCCACAGTTGGTTCATCCAGTTCATCCCCAGGTGGACCGTTATGTCTAAGCCAATCTAGCACATCTTCAACAACCTTACTCTTGGGCTTCTTAGCCACCAGACCAGGAGGAAGAGGCGAGCCAGGCAAATTCATGATGCTATCGAGTGTGGGTTCATCAAGCTTGGACGTGTCTGGCTCGTTTTTGCGCAACCAATCGACAACATCCTCCATAAACTCCTTCTTCATCTTGGGTGTGTTCTTCTTCGGCATAGGAACACCAGTCAAATCGGACAGGGCTTCAAGGGTGGGTTCATCAACCTCTTCATCTGGACCACCATTCTTCCTCAGCCAATCAACCACATCATCTACAACCTTCTTCTTTGTCTCACGGGGAACAACTCCTGCTGGAAGAGGGGCGCCTGGTACCTGCAACAAACTGTCCAGGGCTGGCTCATCAAGTTTCGAGGGGTTTGGTTCATTCTTGCGTAGCCAATCGACTGTGTCCTCCAAGAATTCCTTCTTTGTCTGAGGGGTCTTCTTCTTGGGCATAGGGACTCCTGTCAAATCTGAGAGGGCTTCAAGAGTGGGTTCATCCAGTTCTTCCTCTGGTCTCAGCCAATCAAGCACATCGTCAACGCCCTTCTTCTTCGTCTCTCGTGGAACAACTCCCGTAGGCATGGGTGCACCGGGAACTGCAAAGGCTGTCAAGGTGTGGTTCTCAAGCTTGGATGTATCTGTGTGTTCTTTCGCAGCCAGTCCACACTATCCTCCATGAACTTCTTCTTTTCGTTTGGTGTCTTCTTTTTGGCATGGGAACACCAGTCAGATCTGAAACCGCCTCAAGGGTTGGCTCGTCTGGAAGATTCTCTGGGGGGCCATTCTTCCTGAGCCAGTCTACAACATCATCAACACCTTTCTTCTTAGTATCTCGAGGAACAACACCAGAAGGTATGGGAGCACCGGTACTGCAACAGACTATCAGAATGGGTTCATCAAGCTTCGATGTATCTGGCGTGTTCTTTCGAAGCCAGTCCACAGTATCCTCCATGAACTTCTTTTTCTCCTTTGGTGTATCCTTCTTGGGCATGGGCACACCAGTAACATCTGACAAGGCTTCAAGTGTGGGTTCGTCAGGACATCCTCTGGGGGGCCATTCTTCCTGAGCCAATCCACAACATCATCAACACCTTTCTTCTTTGTATCCCGAGGAACACACCAGAACGGCATTGGACTCCTGACCTGCAAAGACATCAAGAGGGTTCATCAAGCTTGGAAGTATCAGAGAATTCTTTCGAAGCCAGTCCACCGTATCTTCCACAAACTTCTTCTTCTCCTTCGGCGTTTCTTTCTTTGGCATTGGAACACCAGTAATTGAAGGGCTTCAGGTGGGTCATCGTCGTTTTTGGAGCCGTTTTCCAGCCACATACATCTCAACACCTTTCTTCTTTGTGTCTCGAGGCACTACTCCGACGGCATTGGAGCACCCGGCACTTGTAACAGACTGTCCAATGTAGGTTCATCCAGTGTTGACACATCGGGTTCATTCTTGCGCAGCCAGTCAACAGTATCCTCGACGAATTGTTTCTTCTCCTTAGGTGTTTTCTTCTGTGGGATTGGAACACCTGTCAGGTTGGAAGGCCTCAAGATGGTGCATGTCAATTCATCACTTGTGGACCATTCTTCCTAGCCATCACAACATCCTCAACACCCTCTTTCTTCTTCTCACGAGGAACCACACCTGCAGGCATAGGAGCACCTGGACCTGCATCAAGCTGTCAAGAGTGGGTTCATCAAGTTTGGATGTGTCAGGTGTGTTCTTTCGAAGCCAGTCCACAGTGTCATCCATGAACTTCTTCTTTGTCTCGGGGGTCTTCTTTTTGGGCATTGGAACACCAGTCAAATCTGAGAGGGCTTCAAGAGTGGGTTCGTCGGGGAGATCATCTGGAGGGCCATTCTTCCTTAGCCAGTCAACAACATCATCAACCCCCTTCTTCTTGGTATCACGAGGAACAACACCAGCAGGCATTGGAGCTCCTGGTACCTGAAACAAACTGTCAAGAGTGGGCTCATCAAGTTGGGAAGTTTCTGGTGAATTCTTGCGGAGCCAATCAACAACATCATCCATGAACTGCTCCTTATCTTTCGGTGTCCTCATCTTGGGCATGGGGACACCTGTCAGATCTGAAAGCGCTTCTATGGTAGGCTCATCTAGCTCATCTCTTGGGGGGCCATTCTTTCTTAACCAATCTACAACATCATCAACGCCTCTTTCCTTGGATTTCCTGGTCAAAACAGCAGGTGGAAGTGGCGCCCCAGGAATATTCAACAGACTGTCAAGGGTTGGCTCATCAAGCTTGGACAAATCTGGGCCTCCTTTGCGAAGCCAGTCAACGGTGTCTTGAATGAATTTCCTCTTCTCCTTGGGGTTTTTCTTTTTGGGCATGGGAACACCAGTCACCTCAGAGAGAGCCTCAAGTGAGGGTTCATCCAGTGTGTCATCTGGAGCACCATTCTTCCTCAGCCAATCAAGTACGTCCTCAACCCCCTTCTTCTTAGTGTCACGTGGAACAACACCTGAAGGCATTGGAGCTCCAGGGAACTGCAAGAGGCTGTCAAGAGTTGGTTCGTCAAGCTTGGATGTATCTGGTGTGTTCTTTCGAAGCCAGTCTACACTATCCTCCATGAACTTCTTCTTTTCCTTGGGTGTCTTCCTCTTTGGCATCGGAACACCAGTCAAATTTGAGAGGGCTTCAAGAGTCGGCCCGTCGGGAATATCATCTGGAGGGCCATTCTTCCTGAGCCAGTCCACAACATCATCAACACCCTTCTTCTTTGTGTCTCGAGGAACAACACCAGAAGGCATGGGAGCACCGGGTACCTGCAACAGACTATCAAGAGTGGGTTCGTCAAGCTTGGAGGTATCTGGAGAATTCTTTCGAAGCCAGTCCACAGTGTCATCCATGAACTTCTTCTTCTCCTCCGGTGTCTTCATTTTTGGCATTGGAACTCCAGTCATATCAGAGAGGGCTTCAAGTGTGGGTTCATCAGGGACATCCTCAGGAGCACCATTCTTCCTGAGCCAGTCCACAACATCATCAACACCCTTCTTCTTGGTAGTCCTTGAAACTGGTAGTGGCAGTTGTGGGCCACCAGGAATAGTTAACAATCTGTCAAGGGTGGGTTCACCTAGATTGGAAGTATCTGGTTGATTCTTTCGCAACCAGTCAACCGCATCGTCCACAAGCTTCTTCTTTGTCTCAGGGTTCTTCTTCTTGGGCATTGGAACACCAGTCAATTCTGAGAGTGCTTCAAGAGTTGGTTCATCCAGCTCTTCCTCAGGGGCGCCATTCTTCCTGAGCCAGTCGACAACATCCTCAACACCCTTCTTTTTCGTTGTGCGTGGTACAACCCCAGGGAGTGTTGGACCTCCTGGTACCTGCATCAAACTGTCAAGAGCAGGCTCATCCAACTTGGATGTGTCTGGTTCATTTTTCCGTAGCCAGTCAACGGTGTCCTCCATGAACTTCTTCTTCTCCTTGGGTGTTCTCCTCTTGGGCATAGGAACACCTGTCAGGTCGGAGAGTGCATCAAGAGTGGGCTCATCCAGGTCACTGGGTGGGGGGCCATTCTTCCTGAGCCAGTCAACAACATCCTCAACACCCTTCTTCTTTGTCTTGCGTGGCACAACCCCCGGAAGCAATGGACCTCCAGGTACCTGCAATAGACTGTCAAGGGTTGGTTCATCGAGTTCCGACAAGTCTGGTTGGTTCTTGCGAACCCAATCAACCACATCACTCATGAACTTTTCTTTCTCATTGGGCGTCATTCTCTTTGGGAGCGGAACTCCAGACAAGTCAGAGAGTGTCTCAAGAGTGGGCTCATCAAGGTCATCAGTCGGTGGTCTGTTTTTCCTTATCCAATTCAAGATGTCGTCAACACCCTTCTCTTTTGCTTCACGAGAAAGCACAGTTGGAAGCTGTGGACCACCAGGTATATTTAACAGACTGTCAAGGGTAGGCTCATCGATCTTGGACAAATCAGGCCCACCCTTTCGCAACCAATCCACAACATCCTCAACAAACCTCTTTTTTTCCCGTGGTGTTTTCATCTTAGGCATGGGAACTCCAGACAGTTCAGAAAGGGCATCAAGGGTGGGTTCTTCAATTTCATCTTCTGGGGCACCATTCTTCCTCAGCCAATCAACAACATCTTCAACACATCTTTTCTTCGTTTCTCTGGGAATAATGCCAGGGGGGAGGGGTGCTCCTGGGATTTGCATTAGTTCATCAAGAGTAGGCTCATCCAACTTAGACGTGTCTGGTTCATTTGTCCGCAACCAGTCAACAGCATCCTCAACAAATCTTTGTTTGTCCTTTGGTGTCTTCCTCTTTGGCAGGGGAACACCTGTCAGGTCTGAGAGCGCATCAAGAGTGGGCTCATCCAGGTCACTGGGTGGGGGGCCATTCTTCCTGAGCCAGTCAACAACATCCTCAACACCCTTCTTCTTTGTCTTGCGTGGCACAACCCCCGGAAGCAATGGACCTCCAGGTACCTGCAATAGACTGTCAAGGGTTGGTTCATCCAGTTCCGACAAGTCTGGTTGGTTCTTGCGAACCCAATCAACCACATCACTCATGAACTTTTCTTTCTCATCGGGCGTCATTCTCTTTGGGAGCGGAACTCCAGACAAGTCAGAGAGTGTCTCAAGAGTGGGCTCATCTAGTTCGTCCGAAGGTGGCCCATTTTTCCTCAGCCAATCAAGCACATTCTCAACACCCTTCTTTTTGGTGCCTCTCGGAACAATAGCTGGGGGTAATGGAGCCCCCGGAATTTGCATCAATGCTTCAAGAACTGGTTCGTCCAACTCTTGAACATCAGGGGACCCCTTTCGAAGCCAGTCAACTGCATCTTCCACAAACATCTTCTTGTCCTCAGGAGTTTTCATCTTTGGCATTGGGACACCAGACAGGGATGACAGTGCTTCAAGGGTTGGCTCATCCAATTCTTCCTCTGGAGCGCCATGCTTTCGGATCCAATCCACAACATCCTCGACAGCCCTCTTCTTTGTCTCACGAGATACCACACCAGGCAACACAGGTGCACCAGGTATGTTCATTAGACTGTCAAGAGTAGGTTCATCCAGCTCGGAGGTTTCTGGTTCATTCTTTCGCAGCCAGTCAACAGTGTCCTCCATGAACTGCTTCTTCTCATTGGGTGTTCTCCTTTTGGGCATAGGGACACCAGTAAGATTGGAGAGTGCTTCAAGGGTTGGCTCGTCCGGAACATCATCAGGGGCACCATTCTTCCTGAGCCAATCAACAACGCCCTCAACTGCCTTCTTCTTCGTCTTGCGAGGAACGACTCCGGCAGGCATAGGCGCTCCCGGTACCTGCAATAAACTGTCTAGAGTTGGTCCTTCAAGCTCAGAAATATCTGGTTCATTCTTGCGCAGCCAGTCGACTGTATCTTCAATATACCTCTTCTTTTCTTTTGGTGTTTTCATCTTTGGCATTGGTATGTCTGTCAAAGTTGAAAATGCTTCCAGAGTGGGCTCATCCAACTCTTCTTCGGGGCCACCATTTTTCCTGAGCCAATCAAGAACATCCTCCACACCCTTCACCTTCATTTCTTTGGTGACAATTGCAGGGGGCAATGGAGCCCCCGGAATCTGCAACAAGCTGTCAAGAGTTGGCTCGTCAAGCTTCGACAGATCAGGTTGATTTTTTCGCAACCAGTCCACAGCATCTTCAACAACCAACTTCTTATCCTGTGGTGTCTTCATCATGGGCATCGGCACACCAGTCAAGTCCACAAGCGCCTCAAGCGTAGGTTCATCGAGTTCATCTTCAGGTGCACCATTCTTCCTGAGCCAGTCAATCACATCCTCGACACTATTCTTCTTGGTTTCCCTTGGCATGATGCCAGCAGGGAGTGGTGCATCTGGGATTTGCATGAGTGCTTCAAGTGTTGGCTCGTCCAACATGGAGGTGTCTGGTTTGTTCTTCCGCAACCACTCCACAGCATCTTCCATGAACTTCTTCTTTTCTTTTGGTGTCTTCATCTTTGGCATAGGTATATCTGTTAAGATGGAGAATGCCTCAATCGTTGGTTCATCTAGTTCATCATCTGGGCCACCATTCTTTCTGAGCCAATCAAGAACATCCTCAACGCCTTGCTTCTTTCTTTCACGTGGAACAATCCCTGGAATCAATGGACCTCCTGGCACCTGCAGTAAACTGTCCAGAGTAGGTTCATCAAGTGCGGAGGTATCAGCTTCATTTCTTCGAAGCCAGTCAACTGCATCTTCCATGAACCTCGTTTTCTCCTTGGGTGTCTTGATTTTGGGCATAGGAATACCAGTCAACTTGGAGAGTGCTTCAAGTGTGGGTTCATCTGGCATATCCTCAGGAACTCCATTCTTCCTCAGCCAATCAGCAACATCCTCAACTCCTCTTTTCTTTGCTTCTCTTGGAACAACAACAGGAAGCAACGGAGCTCCTGGTATCTGCAGCAAACTATCCAGCATTGGCTCCTCTAACTTGGATACATCAGGACCACTTCTTCGTAGCCAGTCAACCACATCTTCCGTGAACTTCTTCTTCTCCCTTGGTGTCTTTCTTGTAGGCATTGGAACACCAGACAGTTTGGATAGGGCTGCTAGTGTTGGTTCATCCATTTCCTCTTCTGGGACGCCATGCTTCCTTAGCCAGTCCACAACATCCTCTGCACCAGCCTTTTTCCTCTCTCGTGGCATAACTCCAACTGTCAAAGGTGCACTGGGAATATTCATTAAATTGTCCAGGGTAGGTTCATCAAGCTTGGATATGTTTGGCTCATTCTTTCTCAACCAGTCAACAGCATCATCCACGAGCTTCTTCTTTGCCTCAGGGGTCTTCTTCTTGGGCATTGGAACACCAGTCAAATCTGAAAGGGCTTCAAGAGTGGGTTCATCCAGTTCTTCTTCTGGTGCTCCATTTTTCCTGAGCCAGTCAACAACATCCTCAACCCCCTTCTTCTTCGCTTCTCGCGGAACAACACCTGGTGGCAAGGTTGCACCAGGCAAATTCATTAATGAATCCAGGGTGGGTTCATCAAGCTTTGACAGATCAGGCTCATTCTTTCTGATCCAATCAACACTTTCTTCTATTGCATCTCTCTTTGTCTTTGGAGAGAGGGCCTTAGGCAAAGGTACACCAGTTAGTTGTGTGAGTGCCTCCAGAGTTGGTTCGTCCATCTCATCTTGTGGGGCACCATTCTTTCTAAGCCAATCAACGACGTCTTCAACACTCTTCTTCTTTGTCTCCCTTTTTACAACACCTGGAAGAACTGGAGCTTCAGGAACTTGCAGTAATGCATCAAGAGTGGGTTCGTCTAGTTTTGAAACATCGGGCTCGTTGTTGCGGAGCCAGTCCACACTATCCTCCATGAACTTCTTCTTGTCCTTGGGTGTGTCCCTCTTGGGCATGGGGACACCTGTTAGATCTGACAATGCCTCAAGTGTTGGCTCATCCAGATGATTTGTGGGGGGGCCATTTTTGCGAAGCCAATCTACAACATCCTCCACTCCTTTCTTCTTAGCTTCACGAGGAACAACCCCGGAAGGCATCGGGGCACCTGGTACCTGCATAAGACTTTCAAGGGTTGGTTCATCAAGAACAGAGGTGTCTGGAGCATTGCTTCGCAACCAGTCAACCACATCATCCATAAATTCCTTTTCGTGTGGGGTCAATTTGTTGGGAAGGGGGACACCTGTTAGGCTTGAGAGAGCATCAAGTGTGGGTTCATCAATCTCATCCTTTGGTGGACCATTCTTCCTCAACCAATCGACAACATCATCAACACCCTCCTTTTTCTTCTCACGAGGGACAATACCTGATGGCATTGGAGCACCAGGTACCTGCATCAAGCTGTCAAGAGTGGGTTCATCTAGCTTCGCCGTATCAGGTTGATTCTTTCTCAACCAGTCAACAGCATCATCCATGAACTTCTTCTTTGCCTGGGGGGTTTTCTTCTTGGGCATTGGAACACCAGTCAAATCCGAGAGGGCTTCAAGAGTGGGTTCATCCAGTTCTTCCTCTGGACCACCATTCTTCCTCAGCCAATCAAGTACATCGTCAACACCTTTCTTCTTTGTCTCACGAGGGACAACACCAGATGGCATGGGAGCACCAGGAACCTGCAACAGACTGTCAAGGGTGGGTTCATCAAGCTTGGATGTATCTGGTGTGTTCTTTCGCAGCCAGTCAACACTATCCTCCATAAACTTCTTCTTCTCCTTGGGTGTGTCCTTCTTGGGCATTGGGACCCCCGTCAGATTTGATAGGGCTTCAAGGGTGGGTTCATCAGGGACATCGTCAGGAGCACCATTCTTCCTGAGCCAGTCCACAACATCATCAACCCCCTTCTTCTTTGTTTCACGAGGAACAACTCCAGAAGGCATAGGGGCACCAGGTACCTGCATGAGACTATCAAGAGTTGGTTCATCCAGCTTGGATGCATCTGGTTTATTGGTTCGCAACCAGTCAACCACATCATCAATGAATTGATTGCTAGGGGATATGACTCTCTTAGGCAGTGGGAATCCAGACATAGTTGCTAGGGCCTCCAGAACGGGTTCATCAATCTCATCCTTTGGTGGACCATTCTTCCTCAACCAATCAACAACATCATCAACACCCTCCTTCTTCTTCTCACGAGGGACAATACCTGATGGCATTGGAGCACCAGGTACCTGCATCAAGCTGTCAAGAGTGGGTTCATCTAGCTTCGCCGTATCAGGTTGGTTCTTTCTCAACCAGTCAACAGCATCACCCATGAACTTCTTCTTTGCCTGGGGGGTTTTCTTCTTGGGCATTGGAACACCAGTCAAATCTGAGAGGGCTTCAAGAGTGGGTTCATCCAGTTCTTCCTCTGGACCACCATTCTTCCTCAGCCAATCAAGCACATCGTCAACACCCTTCTTCTTTGTCTCACGAGGAACAACACCAGAAGGCATGGGGGCACCCGGAACCTGCAACAGACTGTCAAGGGTGGGCTCATCAAGCTTGGATGTATCTGGTGTGTTCTTTCGCAGCCAGTCAACAGTATCCTCCATGAACTTTTCTTCTTGTCCTTGGGTGTTCCCTTCTTGGGTATTGGGACACCTGTCAGATTTGATAGGGCTTCAAGTGTGGGTGCATCAGGGACATCGTCAGGAGCACCATTCTTCCTGAGCCAGTCCACAGCATCATCAACCCCCTTCTTCTTTGTTTCACGAGGCACAACTCCAGAAGGCAAAGGGGCACCTGGTACCTGCATGATACTGTCAAGAGTTGGCTCATCAAGCTTGGAAGTGTCTGGTTTATTGGTTCGCAACCAGTCAACCACATCATCCATCAATTGTTTGGAATCAGGAGCCAGTTTCTTAGGAAGTGGGGATCCAGTCATTGTGGCAAGAGCCTCCAGAGTGGGTTCATCAATCTCATCCTTTTGGTGGAACCATTCTTTCCTCAACCAAATCACAACATCATCAACCACCCTTCCTTCTTCTTCTCACGAGGGACAATACCTGATGGCATTGGAGCACCAGGTACCTGGCATCAAGCTGTATCAAGGAGTGGGTTCATCTAGCTTCGCCGTATCAGGTTGGTTTTTTCTCAACCAGTCAACAGCATCATCCATGAAATTCTTCTTTGCCTGGGGGGTTTTCTTCTTGGGCATTGGAACACCAGTCAAATCTGAGAGGGCTTCAAGAGTGGGTTCATCCAGTTCTTCCTCTGGAACACCATTCTTCCTCAGCCAATCAAGTAGAGTACATCGTCAACACCTGTCTTCTTTGTCTCACGAGATACCACACCAGGCAACACAGGTGCACCAGGTATGTTCATTAGACTGTCAAGAGTAGGTTCATCAAGCTTGGATGTATCTGGTGTGTTCTTTCGCAGCCAGTCTACACTATCCTCCAAAAACTTCTTCTTGTCCTTTGGTGTATCCTTCTTGGGCATTGGGACACCCGTCAGATTTGATAGGGCTTCAAGGGTGGGTTCATCAGGGACATCGTCAGGAGCACCATTCTTCCTTAGCCAGTCCACAACATCATCAACCCCCTCTTTCTTTGTTTCACGAGGCACAACTCCAGAAGGCATAGGGGCACCTGGTACCTGCATGATACTGTCAAGAGTTGGCTCATCAAGCTTGGAAGTGTCTGGTTTATTGGTTCGTAACCAGTCAACCACATCATCCATCAATTGCTTGGAATCAGGAGCCAGTTTCTTAGGAAGTGGGAATCCAGTCATAGTTGCTAGGGCCTCCAAAGTAGGTTCATCAATCTCATCCTTTGGTGGACCATTCTTCCTAAACCAATCAACAACATCCTCAACACCCTCTTTCTTCTTCTCACGAGGGACAATACCTGATGGCATGGGAGCACCAGGTACCTGCATCAAGCTGTCCAGAGTGGGTTCATCTAGCTTCGCCGTATCAGGTTGGTTCTTTCTCAACCAGTCAACAGCATCATCCATGAACTTCTTCTTATCCTTTGGTGTGTCATTCTTGGGCATTGGGACACCAGTCAGATTTGATAGGGCTTCAAGAGTGGGTTCATCCAGCTCTTCCTCTGGACCACCATTCTTTCTCAGCCAATCAAGTACATCGTCAACACCTTTCTTCTTTGTCTCACGAGGAACAACACCAGATGGCATGGGAGCACCGGGAACCTGCAACAAACTATCAAGAGTGGGCTCATCCAGCTTGGATGTATCTGGTTTGTTCTTTCGAAGCCAGTCTACACTATCCTCCATAAACTTTTTCTTGTCTTTGGGTGTATCCTTCTTGGGCATTGGGACCCCCGTCAGATTTGATAGGGCTTCAAGGGTGGGTTCATCAGGGACATCTTCTGGAGCACCATTCTTCCTAAGCCAGTCCACAACATCATCAACCCCCTTCTTCTTTTTTTCACGAGGCACAACTCCAGAAGGCAATGGGGCACCTGGAACCTGCATGACACTGTCGAGAGTGGGTTCATCCAGTCTTGATGTGTCTGGTTTATTGGTTCGCAACCAATCAACCACATCTGTTGACGAGCTGGTTCAGAATCTTGAAACAGACTGCTTGGGGAGCGGAAATCCAGTCACTGTGGCTAGAGCCTCCAGAGTGGGTTCGTCAATTTCTTTATTTGGTGGACCATTCTTCCTCAACCAATCAACAACATCATCAACGCCCTCCCTTCTTCTTTCTTCGCGAGGGATAATAACCTGATGCATTGGAGCCACCAGGTACCTGGCATCAAGCTCTGTCAAGGAGTTGCGGTTTCATCTGCTTCGCCGTATCAGGTTGGTTCTTTCTCAACCAGTCAACAGCATCATCCACGAGCTTCTTCTTTGCTTCAGGGGTCTTCTTCTTGGGCATTGTAACACCAGTCAAATCTGAGAGGGCTTCAAGAGTGGCTTCATCCAGCTCTTCCTCAGGGGCGCCATTCTTCCTGAGCCAATCAAACACATCCTCAACACCCTTCTTCTTATCCTCACGAGGCACAACTCCAGAAGGCATAGGTGCACCTGGAACCTGCAACAGACTGTCAAGGGTTGGTTCATCAAGCTTGGATGTATCTGGTGTGTTCTTTCGAAGCCAGTCAACACTATCCTCCATAAACCTCTTCTTGTCCTTTGGTGTGTCCTTCTTGGGCATTGGGACACCAGTCAGATTTGATAGGGCTTCAAGTGTGGGTTCTTCAGTGGAAATCGGTCACCGCGCGCGGTGTTCCTCGCTGAGTCCAGCCTGCATTACATTCAACCCCTTCGTTGGTCTCTTTCGGGGCACAACTTAGAAGGCATAGGGGACCAATGGAACTCTATGCACGCGGATTATCTGTCAAGGGTTGGTTCATCAAGCTTGGAAGTGTCTGGTTTGTTGGTTCGTAACCAGTCAACCACATCATCCATCAATTGCTTGGAATCAGGAGCCAGTTTCTTAGGAAGTGGGAATCCAGTCATAGTTGCTAGGGCCTCCAAAGTAGGTTCATCAATCTCATCCTTTGGTGGACCATTCTTCCTCAACCAATCAACAACATCATCAACACCCTCCTTCTTCTTCTCACGAGGGACAATACCTGATGGCATTGGAGCACAAGGTACCTGCATCAAGCTGTCAAGAGGTGGGTGCATCTAGCTTCGCCGTATCAGGTTGGTTCTTTCTCAACCAGTCAACAGCATCATCCATGAACTTCTTCTTTGCCTCAGGGGTTCTTCTTCTTGGCATTGGACAGCCAGTCAAATCTGAGAGGCTTTCAAGTGAGGTGAATAACAGAGCTGGGTCAGGTTTACATGTGCAGATCTGTGCGCCTTCGCCGAATCTGTGGGCATATATATATATCATCGTGTGATCTTCTTTT